AATTTGGAGAAAAAGTCAAGAAAAAATGAAGAGGAAACGAACTGCTAGTGAAGAAAAAAGAAGAGTAAAAGAGGAATCTTGCGAGAAGAGTTTTTTGATGTGAAGAGTGCCAGCACTAAATGGGATGCTTACCATCTAATACAACTTAGTGCACCAATGATAAATAGTATGCCTGGTACGGTAAATTTACCAAGTGGTATTCCTTGGTATGATCTTGAATTGGATAAAATCACCAATCTGCATGCTGATTTGTAGTCAAAGCAGTGTGATCCAATGGAATTCATGTTGAATATTGGAAACATAAATAATTGATAATGTCTTAAATATGTTAAGGGACTTACTGCTGAGGTTTATTATTATAGATCTAGTGTGTTATCAAGAGCGTTAGACACTTAGAGTTGATGATAATGTGTATGATTGTCGCATTGTAACACAAGATAAAAGGAGCACAGAGATAAAAGCACATTCTGGGTGCTTATGTGAAATCTGATTGAATAGGTGGTGGTGAGTTGATTGAAACGACGAGGACATATCCAATAGTGACCTACCTGAAGAGTTTTTAATGGGGAGATGATGGGTCAACTTTGATAAAGAGGATGTGCAAAACTTTGTTAAGAATGTACAGACAGTCTCCTAAACAACCAAATGGCTTGCATGTATGTGTGGCTCTAAGATCAGTTCATCATGATCAAACACAATAGAATTGCTAAAAAGTTTCTGATAGATTCCAAATTTGAACTAATCTTGGTTGATATCAGGATGTTGTGTGCAGCTTATTCCAATTGCATTCTGATAGGTTGCTTCAATTCGTTCTTATATTTCTTAACTGTGGGCCACTAAAGTGATACAGGGTTGGTGTTATTCTGAAAACGATCTATCGTATGCTTACTATAATTCAATTGTACATGTTTCAGCATGCAGCAACAAGATTGTTCTAGGAGAAATTGTTGTACTAAAACAAATGGTACAGATTACCAGATTGCAACTTAACCGTGCTAGAATTTTGTCTGATCATATATGTTAATGTTAGATTAGTATTTGTCCAGTCTATTTCTTTACCTGTCATCAGACTACACATTTGCCATGGTTCTTAAACAACGGCGAATCTTTAGAACAGGAGATTTAAATATTACATCCCTTTGAATTGATGATTCAAATTTTATTATTTAACAGATGATGTGATCTTTACATGATTTCTCTTTTGTTTTATTTTTGCCTCTCTTTCAGGCTCAGGCTCTTTTAAGCTATTTCCGGAACCAACGGCATGGAAATGCTGGTAGGAGATGATCTTCAGCCAGCTTCAGGTTTCTCATTTTTATGTAATTAAGAGTTTGGTTCTCTTAGATACGTTTTAAGTTTGATGCATCGGCTGTAACTATGCAACTGTCAAGTTTCCACGCATTTTAATGCATAAGAGATTTATTGTGGTGTTGTACAAAACAGACTAATGTTGTACAGTATTCATTGCGATCAGTTGATTCTTTTCTCGTTGTGATGCTGTTGTAGCGGATGTCCTGCTCCTGTAAAAGATACAGTCTCTCATTTTTGGTACCACGCAGACTTCCATCTCTACAGAAACTCATTTTAATAGCCTATGAGCTCTCTCAAGTAATTTGACAAAGTGGTTTCCCAATTTATTCTTCTTTTTTGATGATATTAACATGCAAATGCCTTTCAGTGAAGTATCATTTTTAATTGTGCAAAAAATACGCTGCTTTTTTTGTAGTCGAGGAAACAAAGGCTTTTTTTGTAGCCAGGAACAGAGTATATATAGTGCAGGAAATAGTTGAAGGTAAGTGAGAAGGTGGCATTCTTTTTATATATACATACTTACATATTGTTCTCTGAAGATAGTATCCCAAACTGATCAGTGAGGCTTTGAAAGTTCGGTAGCAAATAAGTTCAAAAATATGAAGATTGGAAGTAATTATAGGGACAAGAAAAAAATCAACACCACGTGATTGTCATCGTAACATCACATGTTCAGTATATGATTGTCATCGTAACATCTAAACATAAGAAGAAAGGAGCTCAGAATTGTTTGTGTCGATTACATTTGATTTCCATCAAATTCGTCACTTCTGGTTTCAAACACTTGCATCAAATTCATTTTTCTCAACCGCCAGAAAGTGGCAAAGGATTGGCATTCGACGGTATGAAGATTGGATTGCATCAATATAATTAGCTGCATGGATCTTGATGTCACTCGAACATTGTCAAGGACTTCAATGATCGAATGAATTTCTAGAATTATCGTGAATATTTGGAGTGTTAGAACGTACTCTTGAAAACCGGAGTTGTTGACCTTCGATGATGCTTATCATCATCGGAAGGATTTGGTGGTGTTAGTATGTAATTGATGTTTCTTTAATGAATTCTTTGCTGAATAGGTCGAACCTAAAGAAAATATCTGGATCATGTCGTATGATTGTTGCATTTTGTATTGTTGTAAATTGTGCATGTATTCTTTATCGGGCAGCACATTCAAGGTGATGGCACCAATTATTTACGAGCGAGAAGCTTCGTGAGTAGAGTAAGAGCAGATCGCTGCTGCTGCGATTGCTGTTGCTGTGAGGGCACATGCATTCCTTTCGTTCCCCTTAACTCCGTCCTTCATTCTCCTTAAGTCTGCCGATTATTGGCAGAGCCGAAGGCAAAGCTTCGCTGATTGTTGGCAGAGCCGAAGGCAAAGGCGAAGCTTTGCTTTTCTCAACGGCATTGGTTGCTGGCCGAAGGCAAGAGCGAAGCTCACTGCTTTGATATCATGATAAAAATAATAGAATATAAGAATAATTATTGAAGAAGCTTTATTAAAATAGCTTTAGCTTAAATACATTAAGCTGTCCCTCTCCTATTTATACAGATTAGGAGAAGAGAAATAAGAGGATTTCCCTCAACAGAATAGAGATTTTCATGAAGAGAAATCTTATCTTCTAAGTCGGGAAATCCGACGACCGACAATTGTGCCGGGCGAAGAAGTCGTCGCGACCAGTTGTACTGATAAGTATCGATCACACCGTACAGAACCAACCGATTTAGGATCGGAAACTCTCACCTTCAAGGATTCGGAGGACGTTTAGTTAAAGCTAGTCTCGTATACTCTCTGTAATCGATATAGTTCAAGGCCTCTCGTCCTTACGGCACCTTCAGCAAGTGCTGAATTAAGGCCAGATTTTGAGACAACGAACCCCTCCCTCCTATTCTGCTGCTGCTGCTGCAAGCCAGCAAGCTATTACTTGTGTTACAGGAAGCTCCATTTTAGAAGAGAAGGCCCCGCAAGGAGCGTTCTTTTAAGTGCCCAACTCAAACTGGCGGACCGACGACGGGCATTGCGAGAGGAAAACCTGCAAATGCAGTCCTGTGCATTGCCATCCATATCCATAAATTAAGTACAATACCGTGCAGCTCCGGAAGACAGATATGAGATTGGATGACTCTTTTCTTTTTGTTTCTGTGACTGGTGGACTCTATAATTGTTCATATTGCATGACAATTATTCATGGCCACCGACTCCGACACTCCCAGCACACTCTCCGGTTCCTCCCACATGGCTCACAAGGAGCACCACTGCACCCTCCGATCTCGTGTGGCTCAAGTCTAGAAAGGGTTGATGAGAGAGAGAGAGAGAGAGAAAGAGAGGGAACGGAAGTCATGTTCATGTCGCCTTATCTCATCTAAAACTTCTTCATTTCCGTGACAATTATTGAGTCCACGTTCGAAAGCTATCAGGCCTTTTCCATGATGGGGACGACTGCCCACCGCGTATCTTGACACCTAATCATCCGTAAAGACACTACGGTTCTATTGGAACTGAACTAGATTAATAGTTTGATCGACTCGATTTCAAACAGTTGATTCTATCCCTTTCAATAGTTTAATGAATGATTAATTCAAAAAAAATCTAAAAAATAATTCAAAAAATGATAATTCCGATCCAAAATCGAAACCCAATTCTTGAACCAAAATCATCGAGTAACCTTAAATTTAACAGATAGAAACGTGGGTTCGGGGATAAAAATTAAAAGTCGTGACGACTTGCAACACGACTTCAACCGCGACACGGTTGGAACTAGGGAGACGGCCGACTCCCTTACAATGCAGTCGGAGGTGTGACGGAGTGAAGTCGTGACATGACGCAATTATGGGTACTTGTCGCGGTCCTTTTCTTTGTTCTCTGTCCTGCGTGATTCTTATCGTTACCAGCCTTCTCTTGAGACGTCTGTCCTTGTCATCGACGTATGCTCTGGCGCTGTCTCATCAACTCGATGAAGATGTCATGATTGCCAATCTCTCCCAAGTTCCGGAAGTTGCTTTGTTAGACGTACAGGATATTACGTGACGTCTATAATAAGATGAGTACATGCTACGGAAACACTAATGAGTGTAGTAAACATGTCTAATAATAATAATAATAATGTTTGCTGATATCATATCTAATTCAAATATGGAATCGAACTGAGAATTGCATGTGTTAATATTATTTTTTATCATCCGATGAATCAAATTCAGTGTAGATTCATTCAATTGCAAGGTAGATAGATGATAGAAGATGAACGGATTCGATCGGATAACCTATGAAATTAGATCGAGGACAATCTCTATTATGTTAAGGAAAGTCCTTCCTCCTGTATAAATAGGAGATGAAGCAACATTAACATGCTCTTGTCCTATTCATACTCATTAAGCATGTCGATCCAAGATTAATATCCTTATCACGAGCACATCAATATGATAGAAGATAAGATTTCTGTATTCTGCTGAGGAAAATCCTTCTCTTAAGCTGTATAAATAGGAAAATTCTTCACATCTTCAATAAAACCTTATCTTCTATTATTTCCATTAATTTTCATGTCAGATTGATCGTAAAATGGTAATACGTGCAGACGTATCAAATCTCTCATGATCTCATGTCCATGTCCAATTTAGAGAAACTGAACGACATAATAAATGGCATCATCTCATGCAGCTATCAAACTCCACCATATAGTTAAATATACTCGTAAGTAGCAGTAGTAGTATGTAATGTAAGAAGCCCATAATACGGCTTTTGCACTCGTAAGGGCCATAACATTACCCACAGTGAACCATAGAAGTTGTCCAGTCTTCTCGGTTCTACACGTTTATAAACCGGTGTTCAAGTTTAACGTGCTTGAACTTGGTGTAATAGTAACACTTTAAAGAATTCATCTCTCACTAGTCGTCACACGCACACATACGCAAACACACGAGTTGGTACGCCCTCACCGGGATTGGATTTCAATGCTCGGCTCACTTGCAAACCGGCAGCGGCCCCCCGCAGAGGCAGTCGTTGTTGGTGAAGGAGGCGGCCTCGAGGTGGTCGAAGGGGGAGCCGGCCGGGATGGGGCCGCAGAGGTGGTTGTGGCTGAGATCCAAGTGCCCCACGTACGCCGCCGTCACCAGCGTCTTCGGCACGCTGCCCCTTAGCCGGTTGTGCGACAGGTCCAGCGCCGTGTAGTACGACCGGGAGCCGAACACGTCCGGGATCTCCCCCTCGATGCCGTTTCGGCTCAGGTTCAGGATGCCGAGCCCCCGGCTTCTGAGCAGCGCCGCTGGGATCTGCCCGGTGAGCCGGTTCGAGTCGAGGTAGAGCGAGGACAGCACCGGCATGGACCCCAGGGTCGCTGGGATCTCCCCGGAGATGCGGTTCTCAGCGAGGTCGAGGTCGGCGAGCCGGGTCATGTAGCCCACGGAAGCGGGGATGGTTCCGGAGATGCGGTTGCGGCCGAGGAGGGCGCGGCTGAGCATGCGCAGGTTGCCAAAGTCGTGCGGGATGGGGCCGGAGATCTGGTTGTTGCTGAGGTCGAGGTGCATGAGTGAGGATAGGGCGGGGAGGGAGGCGGGGATGTGGCCGGAGATCTGGTTGTCGGCGACGTTGAGTACTGCGAGGCGGGAGAGGCGGCCGATGTCAGCGGGGATTGTGCCGGTGAGCCGGTTGCCGACGAGGTCGAGGATGCGGAGGAAGGGAAGGGAGGTGAGGCACGGAGGAATGGGCCCGGAAATGTGCTTCCAGTCGGCAAGGATGAGGGTGGCCAGACGGTCCAGGCGGCAGACCTCCGGCGAGATGCGGCCGGACATGAGGCCACCGGAGCGGCCTGAGCCGGCGAGGATGGGGTCCTCCGACTCTCCGCGCAGGGAGATGTCAGCTACGCGCCCGGTCGTGGGGTCGCAGCTCACGCCGTACCACCGGGAGCAGCACGCGTCGCCCGTCCACGACGAGAAGATACCCAGGTACGGCTCCGAAAGCGCCGACTTAAAAGCCAGGAGAGCCGCCCGATCCGAAGCCGAGCACCCGAAAGCGCCGTCGGTCGACGTGGCCGCGACGGCCAGGACGAGGACGACGGCCACGGTAGAAAGGAAACATGGAGGAGCCATACTAACTCTTAGCCGAAGCGATGAGTCTCTGCTAACTTCTACCTTGTGACCGGGTTTATACGCCCATTCGGACGATTGTGTCCTCATCAAGACAGTCATATTACGATAGAAATTAACATGATTTCGGTGAAATTAAATGAGATAAAGAGGAGTATATGAGGAAGTACGGGAAGGGAGCAGGCGGGAACCGGAGGCACGTGCTTCGTTTCATATTAGCTTGTCGTTATCCGACGCGGCAGACGAATCCAGCGGACTGTTGCTCTAAAGATAGGACAAGAAGAAAAAAACTTTGAAGAACGCGTTAAATTTTACCCCGAAGCTACCCGCCTTGTAGTTCGCATAGAAAATGCCTCGACGCGGGTCCGCCCTTGGTAGAAAGAAGGTAGGAAAAAATTTGTTGCTTGTCCACGAAAGGAAAGGGTCAATGGCTTTCGCACTTTATTTCTCACCAAAAAAGGCAAACGAAGACTCGGGTGGTAACCGGGAGCTGGCAGGACCTAACGGAATAAATGTTGGTGATCGTGGTTGTGATGCAGCCCTCTGATCTTAATCCAACGTTCCACAGAGTGTAGTTGTGTGTCCTATTTGTTACGACCTCATGACTGAGGCAGCAAACCTCGTGAAACACCCAAGTCTGACAGGAGTTATGGGTTGAAATAATGTTTGTTGCATGTGTCGTGACGTCAGTCCTTTTTTTTCTTTACAGCCTCTCAGAGTCACCGAGGAAGTAATGGGATCCTTTGGAGGAGAGTCTCATGCTTCAAGCCATCGATATCTCGCTGCACCATCAAATCATGCAATGGGAAGATTTAGACCACCACGTTGTCATCATCAACATTATGGAAGGTTGGATGAATCTGATGGGGGCAACACGAGACAAACTTGACTCGCTTAAATCCAGGTGGTTAACTGAAGCCCGACTTCAGGTCGGTGGGACCCGCGTCACATGCCTCTGCGGAGTATGTGTCTGTCCGCCGAAGTAGGTTCCTTGTACGTGTAAAAAAGATGCGGCGACGCATTTATGTGTCAACCGGAGGAAGGGCCCAGCGACTCTGTCGAACCGCAAGTCAGGTACAGGTGAGGGGTGAATGGTTGAGTGGTGCGTAAATAGAGTGCCCAACAGAACAGACAAAAACCCGCATGTGCGATCACGTGCTCTGTGATTCTCGAGGAAACACGAGTCCTAATCGGAGCGGCGGAACCGTGAAGCAATCTCCGACGCGAGAACCGACGGGAATTGGGACCAACGAGTTCATGCGAAAAGGCGATGACCGCCGGCTTGAATTCTGCTTCTTCTGTACATATTACGGGCGTAGCGGCAGCAGTGAAAATAAAAGGTCTAATTAGACTTTTTGTGTTACATACTGTAGTCTTCGAAGATAAGTAAACAGACAGCCGGCCAGCCTAAATTTACCTTGCCGACGGAAGCAATTTAACAGGTGACCAGATTCATGGCTGGTATTACGATGGCGTGGAGCATGGATACATGAAGCACCGATTATGTTGCATAATGAATAATAGATTAGAAGGGAGATATAGTTGGAGACTGTGACTGTGTCGGAAAAAGTTCATGCCAGGATAGCGAAAGGTTCATGGATAGTATTTTCTTCATGAGAAGGATGTGAAGAGAAATCCTTTTCCTATATATGAATAGGGCCTTTATCCTGCCAACCGGATGACCGAGAAAGAGAGACTTATGTTCGCCAACCTATTGATGTTGATGAAGTAGAGATATAACGTGGGCCGCCACAGGAAGTAACGTGTGGAACGCACTGTAAGAACATATATGTATATATGAGCATTTGGTCCAGTGGAACACAGAGAAAAGAGAGACGAACAGAGGCTCTCTGCAAGACGGCACATAGATGAAAAGTTTTGGAGCAGCTTACTTTCTCCAGACCACCAAATGATTCAACGGTGACATGACTCTGATGTGTGCATCATAACCAGGAGGTTAAACATTATTTTCTCGACTAAGTAGTGAGAGAGAGAGAGAGATCAATTGCTAGCCAGAATGGAATCGATCTTATCTCCGATATGGGCTTCGTAGTCCTCAAGGCGTCCAGCAACATCTTCATTCTCCCAACGAATAAGCGTGGGCACACCCTTGAGCTTGAACCTAGGGTCTACCCTCCATGGATGGCTAGGATTTCTCCACGTAGGTCTATCTCCAACATATGCTCTCAAAAGTACAAGATTGCTATTTGATGCTTCCAGCTTTTCATATATGATGGGCTCTGCTACATTGCAATCTACAAATAGAATAGCATTTAAATCGCTTAGTAAATAAAAACCTTGCCGAATCTGACGGGCATAATAATAATAATAATAATAAAAGTTAATACTATTTCAAGCCCTGAACAATAAGACGTCATACAATTATCAACCTTCACAGAACTAAAAAGCCACCTAGAGATAAGCCTGTCACACTCTGCTTTTTTTCCTAAATCATTATACATGGTCTAAGAGATATAGTTGACCATGAAGAAGCAATAATGTTTCACCTCAAGTACAAGAGAAGAAACAACTAACTTCAGTCCCCCATTCATTGTGCTGATGGCACAAAGATGAGGTTCATAAAGGCACCTACTACATTAAACGCAACATATAGTGAGTCAGAGAGGTATGATAAGGTACGAGAGAGGAGTGTCTTCTAATGAGATGAGGAACTCAAAGACCATAGGGATAGTTTGGCAAAAACATCCCAAACAATTTCAAAATTTTAAATGTGAGGACAATAATGACATTCTTAGGCCCCATACAGAACTCAAATTCTGAATCAAAATGATTGCGATCAAAAGTGATGCTTTCAAAGTTGAAATTATTGATACTCTACCCTCGGGCAGAGGGCCTCCACTCTCCTTTATTCTTTCTTCCCAATGTCTATCTTCCAACACATAGGCAGAGCTTTCTTAGTGCTCTGCCAAAGCATGCCATAGTATATGCTACATTGCATAAAGAAAGGGGCTACTGACTTATTTTATGCATTAAACAAGACCGATTGGATCAACTCCTTTTGTGCTTGTCCCTAGGATTTTCCTAAAGCTACAAGAGACAAAAGATATTATGGATTTTGCCTGGAATCTTGTTTGCAAATCGTATCTGATCATGCATCAATTATCTAAATAGCTTTCAATGCTACAAAATAAGCACAAAACAAAAAAACATTAGTTTCTTATGATCGCTTACATCCATAGCATTGAGAAGATATATCAAATACTTGCCTAGTGTAGATAAGATTAAACACAGCCTCTAGCTCCTCATCCTAAAATTCAAAGGATTCAAGCATACACCTCACTCTAGGAAGAATGCATTCTCGGAAAAGTTGAAAAAAAGCCACCCAATCATATCTCTAAATATGCAAATGCAAGAAAATCCAAACATAAACAGGGATAAAGATGTAAACCTACAAAGGCTACATCAAGATTACTCGTTAACACAAATGTCACAAACGCATGGATGCATATGCACACGTGCACACAAGGACACACACGTAAGCGCACATGCACACACACACATATTGCAACACACAAAATTTACAGGATGTTGACTTACATAGAATCAGTGTTTCTCTTAACCATTTATTTGCTTTACAGGTCTAAACATAAGAAATTTTGGAATATATTTCCTTAAGTCTCATGAGATAGTTAAAAGGAACTAACACATCTTGTCCAATATGATAGCAAATTCTTGCAGTGAGCACTCAGGTCTAATGATTCATGAGAAAAAGAATCATTTTTTTTATTTTTTTCATCCCAATTTTTGCTAGACTGTGCTGATTTCTAGCTAAAGCAAGTTAGAAGCAAGAAAAACTCAATATAGGTTGCTCAATTTCAGATGTCCTATCCGACATTTTAAACTCTGAGATTACCTATAAGTACAGATTGAAAATTTCATATTGGGAAAAAATAAATTATCAATATCAGGTCACATAGATTGGGACCGTGGCGATCAGGATCAATGCAAATATAAAAAATGGGCAGTCGGACTGAAGTTGGCAAGAACTGGACCATGGTTGCTGACACTGCTTCAGATTCACTGAGTTTTCCAAGACTATATGGAATTGCAAGTAGAGGAGTGGCATGCAAGCATGCTCTGTTATATTTATGTCCAAGAGTATCATGACTAAGTCCTGAAAGTTAGATGATAGATAAAAATAATTTTACAAGTGAAAAAAGAAAGAATACATGAAATGCATATATTACTTTGTTAAAAGAAGAGAAATGGGAAACAAACCAGAATTTCTGAGCTATTTAGTACTGAAACAACCTTTAGTATGTTTCAATGAAGAAGGCAATGATAGTAACTTCACCTATCATAATCTACACATATGAACTGCTAAAACAACACTAGCGGAGCCTTTCTTTAACTAGCATATCTTCGGCAATGACCCTTTAATCAGTCATAGACAGAGTCCACATTAATCAAAATAACAATAACAAACAACAGGCAAAGATCAACCAGTAGAAATATATCCAAATGATAACCTTAAAAAAAGAATCTTGAGTCACTATAAACAAGGGTGTCCATAAACTCAATGAACCCACTTTAATTACGGCTACAAGGAATCGAGAGAGAACAATGGAACTGATTCCATTGATGGAAAGGCGTCAAATTAAAAATCAAAACAAAGATTAATGAAAAAAGCCATCTAAGAGCTTAACATGAAGTGCTTGGATGAACCAGGAATTTGCTTTGACGTTTATTGTTTCTTGTTTGTTCTTACGTAACGAATATAGGATGTAGGATCGGAACATGCTCCTATAGATTCAAATACTTGGGAACTATTTTTCACTGTGGGATTACATGGAACATGTTCTTACGTAACGAATATTTTCTCTCCGAGTTGGCAAGTAGGCCATCAATCTGAGATCACTATGCACAGCCTTCATCCAAATACTGGATCGAACAACAGAGTAAGAAGAACTAATAGATATCAAAGACAAAAACTCGAAGGGTTTTACGTCGTAGTGGGTCGTTCTCAAGCAGAAAGAGAGAGGAGAAAGAAGAAAGTGCAACAGATCTGATCTAAGAGAGGAGGAGAGGAAAGGGCAAGCGGAACAATGTACCAGGGCACCAGCTGCGATTGGTAGAGGGATCCTTGTCGGCCAAGAACAGAAGAAACTTGAGTTGACCTGGTTCCGATGGGGAGCCCTCCGTCGTCTCCGACTTGGTGAATCCCCCGAAAACCTGGTCGAAGTTGGAGAGATCGGCGTCAAAGGTTTTGAGAGGCATCCCTTCCTTCCTTCCCCCACTTAGAAACCCTGCCTTGCACAGTTAGGATCGGAGAGATTGGGGCGCATGGGGCATCACCAATTGGCCGGCCCTTCTTAAAGTTGGAACGGACGGCTGATATTTGATGAAAGCAACCTGCAAAACTCGTGAGGAATACGAATCATCGGATAGCGAAACTATCGATCTGCTCAACATGAGAGCACGTGGCGGCGTACGTGCATCCTATCCTATCATTAATTAATAATTAAAAATTCTGATAATAATTAAAAAAATTATAAAAGAATTAAACCCTAATTTTCAAGGTTTACTTCTTTCACATGATATCATTAATCATTAATTAAGCATTGTAGATGATCAATCTAGACTCTTCTGCAACCACCATCAGAAAAATTAGCTTAGATGATATTTAACTTATTGTAAGTCATTTCTGTATTGGATAACCCATTTCTTTCATACATTCTCTCCTTATGTTGTCTTCCTCTTGTGTCCTATTTTAAATTAATAACTTTAACTTTTATATATAATTATCTTTTGATTTTATTTATGCATACTTAAAAATGTCAATAGCTTGAGATCTAACATTAATCAAATATACATAATTATATTTTAATAGATCAACTATCAAGGTGGAAGAGAAGCCAAACAATATATTCCTTAAGATGACAACATCTGAAAAATGAATCCGATCAAGTCATCTTCATCACATTGAGTTATTAACCATTTCCGATACTAACACTGTACGCACAAGAATTCATTCAAAAATACTTGCAATTACCACTTGCAACATTTGGTCATGTCTGCAAATGATAATTGTCTGTAAAACACGTATTACCACTATGATCAACAACAAAAGCACAACTGAAGAACAAGGACTATCCCTGCTAAAACACCAAACAATATATTCATTAAGACGACAACATCTGAAAAATGAATCCGATCAAGTCATCTTCGTCACATTGAGTTATTAACCATTTCCGATACTAACACTATACGCACAAGAATTCATTCAAAAATACTTGCAATTACCACTTGCAACATTTGGTCATGTCTGCAAATGATAATTGTCTGCAAAACACGTATTACCACTATGATCAACAACAAAAGCACAACTGAAGAACAAGGACTATCCCTGCTAAAACACCAAGGGCCGCCCCCTATCACGGAGGACGTGGTTACAAGATGCCGAGTACCTCATACAAGAAATCAATCAGCAGTAGACCTCTTCTCGGTAGTGTAGGGGAAGCACTCCTTTCCATTGTCAACTCTTGCTGTCCGGCCTCCAATATCCAACATAGCAGAAGTGAATGCAAGAGCTGATCCTGCAGAGATCGCTGTTGGAATGCTCCTACCTGTACATTGAATGAGGCATAGATCAACATAAGGAAAAATAAGGTAATCTGAATGACCCAACAAGAAAAGCATGATGTCATAGCATAGAGATATGCAGAATTGACGAATTTACTCCATAGAAGATCCTTACAGACAGATACTATAAATTCGCTAGAATATTATTCCTGCCCGAACAAGGGAAATAGTATCAGTAACCACAATTGCAAGTCAGCACAACAGAAAGCAAAATCATGGCATCTTTGTTTCAACCAAGCAACATAACTCAGGTGGAAGATAGAAACTTGCATATAATTATATCTTTCCACTTACAGAATAGTGATTAACATTGATGAAAACTTCGTAAACTAGTTAAGTAGTTAACACATATATGTCTACATTTTGGACTAGCTTTAGCCAGAAATTCAATCTCAAGAATTTTCATAAACAAGTTTGGTACTTACAGCATTACTATGTGAAGAAACTTCATTTATGATTTCCAAGACACATACAACAACAACAACAACAACAACAAAGTCATAAGTCTCAACTATTTTGGATTGGCTACATGGATATTTTACCACCATTAAGATATGTAAAAGGTCATATGTATAGTTAAGTTTAGAATATCTAAATCTTTATTTATAGTTTTTATTAAAGTCTTTTTAGGTCTTTCTCTCTCTCCTTGTACAATTAAGATTAATCACTTCAACTCTTCTACCTATCACCTCTGTAAGTCTCCTAAGCACATATTTATACCATCTTAAACAATTTCTCTTTTATCTTATCCTGTATCAAAGCGATACCTAATTATTTATGAATAAAATTTGTATTTCTATCTTTCCTAGTAACTCTACAGATCCATCTCAACATTCTTATCTCAACAACACAAACTTTTTATATATGTCCTTAAGAACTCTATCATAAGTTTTCTCTAAGTCAATAAAGACCATATGCAAATCTTTCTTTTTCTCCCTATATTTTTCATTAATTATCTTAATCAATAAATAGATTTTATGGTTGATTTCCTAAGACACATATGGAGTAAAAATGGAATGCCAACGATATGCCTTGGAATGATAAATGACCTTCCAAAACCAATTGGTGTGTACATCGAATGTTAAGTTCATCACACATTTGACCTTAGTTGGTATTCTTGATTGAATGAGCGGGTATGCCTTAATATATTGCTAAAACTAGAATAAAATATAGGAGTTGATAATCAAGGGATCCCAAGTATTGGCACTGCTTTGTAGTTTTAAACAAGGGAGGCATATACAATGAAAAAGAAACTATCCACAATAAAAACTATAATTATATATTAGTAAACCTGGAGCAAAGTCTTATTTATATACTATATATCGTATGATTATAAAATTTGAAATAAAATATACTATGTATTATATAGCACCTATTATAATATTATATTATTAAATATTAAATAGGAAAAGTAAAGCTTCTTACTTATCTCTCCATGAGTTTTTAGTTTTGTAGACTCATTAAATCTACTTGGATGAGCTTGAAACCACCTGCAACTGTGATGGCAACCTAAGGCATTGTGTGAATGTCACGAAAAGAAGTTTGTCAACAAATGGAATGGCAACTGCAAAGCAATGTTTTTAAAAGGTGCTTGGGCAAGACAAGACGAGATCCGAGCGCCTCGTAACACCTCGAGGCGAGGCGTTTCAATGAAACGCTACTTGGGTGAGCACTTGAGTATAGGTGCTAGGCCATTCGGGTGTGCGCCTGAGCCAAATTGATGATGGTCAGCCTGGGTTCGAGCCTAGGCGAGTAAGTTGGTTTAATTGAACTGTGACCCAGTGAAAGAAACCAACAAAGCAAAGCCACTACTCGTCCGCTACCTTCGTATGATTTATCCGTCATCGGTTTCCACCTTCCTCTCCTTTCGTTGGTTACCTCTCCTCCTTTCTTTCTTATTTTATAGCCTACCTTTACATTACTCACACAAGTAAAGCATTAGAAGTGCAGTGACAAATGGAGTTACATCAAAATGTCAAGGTTTTATTCCAAAAATAAAGAAAAGAAGAAAATAAAAGGGAGCTACCATGTCTTTTATTTGTCTTTTTAAAACTTAAACTACGAATTTTAACCTCAATCACTTAAATGATTTGAAGAAAAGGGAGCATTTGAACAGCCATGTAGCTTACTTGGCTGGTATAAAAAGACAACCAGATCCAGTATAGTTTCCATGTTTATTCATCTTTATAAAAGAGCTACCATGATAGCATTTCTATGGCCTATGTCCCTTACCTCTTCCAGTAAATACACACACATTATATATAAGTAAAAGCTTACAAGAACTGTTAGGTAGGTGTAATTACAAGAGATGTAATTTGGTACTTTATATGATTCCAATTTGATGTATCATTTTTATTTTTATGATCATATTTAATTAGCGCCCTTAATTGTCTTCATAACTGGAGAATCCTCGACCTCCAGATATCTCATCTCCGACGGATCCATCCTCTCTTCCAGTCGATACAGATGGATTAGGATGAAATGAAACCCTAGAAATTCAAGATCGACTAAAAACGTAGTTTTAATCTAAAATTTGCAATAGAACTCAAAGATCAAGGAAAACCGGACCAAAATTAAAGCGAGGGAACAGATTAAGAACCAAAATGGGGAAAAATAGAAAAGGAAATTGCTGGATCAGAGTAACTAAAAGGAAAACCATGACAACAGGCGGAATCAATTTGGGGAAAAAGATGTACCTCGACGTCTTGGGCGTAAAATTACTCGACGGAGGAGGAGCTGCCCCAAACCCCAGGCGGAGTTCTACACGGTGGAGTGTAAGACCCACAAAATTACTAGAACACCCTCCATCTCTCGCCTCTGGATCAGACGGCTGCTGGTACGTCCATGGCCCGTGTTCGTCATCCAAATGCTCGTGACCGTCTGATTAGAAACAACACTTATAAAAGACGGATAATGATTATATTTTATAGATCTATGAAAAGCTTAGGGATATGCATGTGATTTAACGAAGACTAAGGTTTTCTAATGTATATGATTTATCAGTGTTCAAATGGCACAAGCATTCCTTGAGACTATTAAGCGATGTGATCTAAATCATATATAGATCCGAAGACTGGCAAGAGCTGCAGTGATACATAAGTGAGCTTGCCAACCACCACTGGGCTCGCTTGCAGTAGAGAACAAAGCAAATCGATACTACGCACCAGAGTACACAAGCACTACAAAGAATCAAATCAATCTCATCCTTAGCATGTAAATGATCCACTCTGTGACCTCTAAAATTAAGCCTACAGAAAAGAAGCAGCAGAAGATACTTCCATCAATGGCATCACTCTCTGCATTAAAATGCTTTTGCTCTCCACATTGCGGTCTCTCTTCGCAGAGGAAGAAGCTCACAGCGCCGAACTCCTGCTTGTTCCATTGCACATGCACTCGGGAACTGGGAAAGCAGTGACGTCCTTGTCGACCTTGTCGCTCCTCCACTCGGGCTGGCCGAGCGATCCTCGGTGGAGTTCCTTGATGATCCGATGGAATTCGAGCTCGGGAAGAGAGGCGTCAAGGAAATATGGGAGCATCTGACGCTTGTTGGGGGTGATGAACTTTCTGTGCCCGGCGAATGCCCGGTGGCCCTGCATCAGGTGTCCCATGTTTCCCCCATGGGAGGGCATGAACACATCACTCTGTTCGCAGACGATGTAGTCGATAGCTGCTAGGAGGGAGGCCTTCTTCGCGAACGGTTCGAGTTCGCCGGGCAGCGACAGATTGTCCTTGTTGTACAGATGCGGGAACTCTCTCGTCAAAGGCAGCAGCGCCTCCGGTCCTCCGAACGGCTCGCCGCCTGCCCAGTATATCATCGCATCCGGGGGAGCTCCTAGTGCTTTCAGCAGCCTGAAACAGAGCAGGTAGGCATCAGTTCCCCACAAGATGTATGCATACTTGCTTCCTGATTCCTCTACCTGGTGACGTCGAGAGCATTCAGTGGGCAGAATCCGGCGAGTTTGCGCTCGTGGTAGGTCATGTTGGACCTACCGGTGAGGAGCTTCGGGCGGAGCTTCCTCTCTTCTTGGACGATCTCGTCGTACTCGGAGCTCAGCCCAGGAAGGCACCCTGTTCGCACCCACACATCTTTCTCCAGTCGAAGGTGCAGAGCGACGTAAGGCCCCTTGCTCCGCATCCTCATGGCGAGCTTGTTGCCCAACTCCTGGATGGGTGCAGCAAACCTCAGGGCATGGAAGGCGACCTGTTGCCGAACATGTGGATTCAGAAGGACAATAGCGATGAAACAAGAACATCAGAGAGACAAGGTTGGATGTTCTGATTACTTTGCATCGGAGCTTTTGTAGGTCACGTGGGAGGTCTTTGGACAACCGGGAATCCAATCCTCTGAGAAGCAAAACCCCTTCTCTGTTGAGCTGCAATCACAAGAACAAGTAGACAGCATGTCATCAAACTCAGCTCTAATCTCCCATTCACCACCAAATGGTTGGAGGAGAAAACCATCAGGACGCTTCGGTCATCTTTCTTTTATGAAGGAAGCAACAGTTCAGTCATCATCGACTGATGAGACTGGAGAAAAGAAGCACATACTTTCTTCAGGTACCGATTCCGGATCCAGCTTGGGGGGACATTGAGAGGGGTCTGCTTCCCGTCCACTGGCCTCGTTCTGATATGGGTCGACGGCAGCGACGACACCACCTTAACATCGTCGGCGAGAACTCTCTTGAAATGCTCCAGATCAAATATATCAGAGAACTCGCTGCCCAATCGAAAAATTGATGCAGAAACAATTAGATGCCACATGAAACCAAATGAAGAGATGAGGATAAACAGATCGACGGATAATAGATCAGAAATAGAAATTCTTTGCACCCAGAAATGCTTAATATAGAGTATAGTTATCTCCAGATTCCATAAAAACTCGGGTGTGAGCTTCCTTTTGAGGACAATAGATGGTAAAAGGGTTCAAAACTTTCTAATGTTGGAACTAAAATGGCAGATAAGGAAGAAGACAGTAGCAAAGATAGGATTTTGATCCTAGATTCTCTCGAAAGTAACAAGATGGACTCGTAAAATGGCACCTTTCGTCGCCCCAGATGACATTGACCTGGAGAACAGGGACGACGAGCGCCGCCCCGAGGATGCGAGCGATCACCACCGCATCGACGATCTGGTTCCGCTGCTGGTTGAGCCCACCGGAGACCACCACCAGCAAGTACTTCCGCCGCCTGACTCGTCGAGCCGCCTCGCTCTCCATCCGGAACTCCTCGCTGAAGTTAAGGCACGGCGAGTATCCCATTCCATCCGGCTGCCTCCAAAACTCCCCCACCACCTCACCCACATCGCCACCATCAACTCCCACCGACACCACCGCCGCTTTGTCGGCAGCCCACGCCGATTCGGTCGACGAAGAGTGCGAGCAGGGGACGGAGGGAAAGGGGAGGAGGCGGTGGAGCTCGGACCCGATCCTGAGGGTGCGGAGCAGGGCGAGAAGGAAGAAGAGCAGGAGTAGGAGGAACTTCGGGTTTCGTGCAAGGGACGGAAGGCGGTGGCCGGGGAACCGCACGGCCTTCTTGGGGGAGAGGTGGAGGCCGTGGAGAGAGTGAATGAACTGCGACGGCACTGCGATGTACGAGAGCTGCTTCGTCTTCGACCTCGCCATCAGTGCTCTAAGCTCGCCTTACTATTCGTCCTCCTCTTCTGCTACTTGTCCTTCTGAGACATGGTCATCGGGGGGAGTGAGAAATGGCCGACCAGCCAACTTGATTCATCGAGCGGGTTGGGAGTGCCTTTCCCGCTCCAATGACGAGAACGCCCGTCCGACAAGGGGAATCCAACGGATCGATATGGGGTACTGTCGTCATATGGCGCGGCAAACGTTCAGTCCTCGGATGAGAGGGACCGGGATTGCGGCCATCGAGACGTGTCGCAAGATCAAACGGCCAGCTGGCGAAATCTGACGTGCGACCAATCCAATCGAGAGTCCGTATACATTGTCGTGTACGGGTCGACGATCAGCGCGTACGTGATCGTCCCAGCTGAGGAAATGGACGGTGGATCGTCGATGGGGCTCAACGAAGTATCTGGCGGTGGTAAAGGACGGCTTCTTTAATGCGTCTCCAACCCATGATCATAACATTACATTTGGAATTGGTCACGGTAAGAATTAATATACATGTATATTAAATCAACGAACAATGGACGAGCATGAGCTACGAGCCAATCATGGTTGTGTCCTATTCATATAATTAATCGGGGCTATTAATGACTTCGTCTTAATTTTGGATTTTTCTCATTGGCAAAAATTTCCATGGAAGGGTTAAATATAGGGGTATTGGAGATCCAACGGGAGCACAACATGTAGAACATGGCTGGCTGGATCGGTGCTGAAAAGGACACTTCAGGTGATAGTAATGAGACAAGAGGATGATAGAGACATGAGAGGCAAGGGAAAAGTCATCAGGAGAGAGAGAGAGAGAGATGGTTTTTGAGTAATAGAAGAAGAGCTTAGAGGTAGAGTACCCAATAATATATTATTATCCTTCAGATTATCTATATAAACAAAAAGAATTAAGTAAATTAAAAAAAAAAAAGATATCACCCTTCACAGAAACAGCTTATCAAACGCGTTGGAATACCCAATCATTTGGTACATCACGAAATCACACATGCATGGCTAAAGTGAAAGGACGAAGACGACACGAAAATGCTTGGCCAACCACATGTCTCTGCGACACCACTCGTTAAACAAAGCTGCACGAAAACCCACAACAACAGCCGATCACGGAAAGCTTTTATCACACTAAAAGGACCTGCGAGAACATTTGTATCGTGCAAGTTAGAACTTGCTCCGAAGTTACTGCGAACGAGAAGGATGGATGGAGACTCGTCACCTTGTTTCTCATGTATTCTTCACTGTACAAAATGGGATAGTTTCCAACCAGAGAAATATAAATCGATTATTTTAACGACCGACACACTGCTACTCGACAGAAAGTAGAAAGTAGAGCGCAGGCTCTCAGGTAATTAATACTCTTTTTCAACAAAAAGAAATAAATTTATTGACCTTAGAAATGATTTTTCAATGGACGAGTCGGAAAAAAATGAACCTTCTCACTTGACAATCATTTACTTAGACCTCTTTCGATCTTCATTGTCTCCCCCTTTGGTAAGTCAAGCAAAGATCACCATCTATCGACATCTCATGGTGTAGGAGTGGTTGATGACTTTTCGATAGTAGGTAAGAGGTGAACATCTCGGGACCTCTTCTTTCACAAGGTGATGCAAGACACCCAAATAGATGATGAATAGGAAACCAATTGGTAAACAACAACTCTCTTTTCTTGATGACTCGGTCACTGTTAGGTCAGTTTCTCTCTCTCGTCCTCCTCCTTTTAAGATGACTTGGTTGAGCAATCATCCATACGGGTGGAATGGCAGTCCGGACCAAACATATGAAGAATCAAATAGTACATAATATAATGAGGAACGAATGTACAGCACCACACGTCTCCATCTTGACTCCCTCCCTCATGACAACATCACCAACTTGGTATCACAACGCCCCTTCTTCGAACCAAGAAAACTTTGAAGCTCATTGAAGAATGCCAAGGGCCTCCTCCTCCAACAAATATGGAAACCCTTCATCTCTCTCTCTCTCTCTCTCTTTCCCAGTTTGCTAAAGTCACATTACGATAGGATGATGATACCTTCTAACCTGAGTTATTCTCCATCTATTTCGCAGATGCGGCTACAAGGACCTAATCGTAGGAGAGAGAAACAATCCTAACTTTCAGATCGAAAGATACGGACAGGACTCATCGAATGTTGAAGGGAGTACGGTTAGATCAACGATCGGTAGAGCGTCAAAATGAACCTAATCGGTCGGCTTTGTTTATTGCAACATGGATAGACCGTCTACACGTAAAGAAATCCAACACCCACCGCATAAGATGAGTGCGTCTTGTCTATAAAGAAAGCATCACGTTGGATAGGGAGGGAATATCTTGGATACCCACTCATGAAACTTTAATGGTTGTTGTATTGACCTCCCGTTGGAATCTCGTCAATCAGTGATACAGCAATGTATCGTTTGCTTGCTACAGAATTTGAATCAATCAAAGAACAAAAATCTTCCATGCGTAGCAGATGAATGAACTGAACTATAATTACTTGATCAGTCCTATATATATATATATATATATATATATATAGTTCAGATAATAGATAAGACTAACAATCACAGATAACATTAAAATATTAGCTTCTTCTATTTCTACTTCTTGCACCTATCATGAGAGCTGTGGAGATTAGGTTTAGCAATGAAGCCAAGGCGTCTTTGTTCACGGACTACAAAGACGACATTTATATCTATTCGTTCCATGTCTCCACCGTGATAAAATATTGTGATTGTTTGAATCCAGGACAAGTAAATTAGATTCCGTGAGCTACTACGACTTGGTTTTTTTAAGGATCAACTTGCTCCACTGTGTCGCATCTTTAATATTCTAAAACAAGAAATGTTCATGTCATCAAACGTTGCTTTTGCTTCTATCACGATTTAGTTGAATGCATCACCAGAGCCACCTGCTTGCCTGTACGCGGTTGTTTGCAGCCCGATACGCCATGACCCCTTGTGATCGTATCGCGAAGAAGAAGATCTCGGTGATAAGAGAGTGATCAGTGAAATCATAAGACATAAATCCAAAAAATAGTATACATGTATAATCTGTGTAAAGTGTTGGGCTGACTGTGATGTAAGATGGTGTTGAGTTGACGCTAATGTGGAGTCATTCGATTAATGTGTCGTAAGGTTATCCACATATCAAAACATCCTTATTAACTACATCACTTTGAACTCAAAGTTTATTTTTCTTAATATCTTTAGATTTATTAAAAAACCTTGAAAAATACTATATATATATAAATAAAAAAAATAAGGTATCAAAATTTTCTCGGTACACAGGTCTTTCTATAGTCAAACTGATTATTCTAAAAGCGACAAAAGGAATCAAAAAATGATAATATATGCATGGACGCGTGACACGGAAGAACAAAGGATGGACGGCCATGTCGCATCTACAAAACTGCTTATACCCCCATGCTGTCAGTGCATGCGTATTTTTGTGCCAACACTGTTAAACCCATCTCAGGAAACGTATTTTTGTACTACTACCCACGTGCACGCGTCCAACTTGTGGTGGGTCCGACATGACGCGCGTCTAACGAATGATGCGAGAGATCTATGCCTGTCTTGGACCATTCATTCATGGTGGGTTCCCCACCCAAAAGCGAGTGGGCCCCCGTACCTTTGACGATGACTTTTCTCGCAGCGTATCTTTGGGGGTGCAGTGGCTCCACCTCCTACAATAATGATGATGATGCCGAGCGCCGTAGTGAGTCCTCGGATGGATGGATGCATGCATGTCATTACCGCAAAGCCTGCAAACAATTCAACAAAATCTATCCCATGTAGTTGTGATCGGTGTCTTTATTTATTTATTTATTTATTATTATTTATTTTTGTGTATTACACAAGTGATATATAGGTTTCAGTTTAAAATTATATATGAGCATTTTGTATGTTATTTAATATAATAAAAATATATTTTAATAAAAAAGAATTAAATTTCGATACCTAGGAATCATCTCAATAGATGTTCATCCTTTATAACCTTATTTAAAAACATGTTTAACTTACTTCAATAGCAGGATCATAATTTTTTTGTTCAAAATTATCCATAAAAAATTGAGAATTAGACTCCATAGTGATGCAAGTAAGTCCCACTAATGCACTACTTTGAGCCCTCTCAAAAAATCATAACTAGTCACATACTATTCTAATTATGAATTGTGAAATCAATTCCTACATATAAAGCCAAGTCTATTGATCGATCAAAATTGATATACCTCTTGATTGTTTTCGTAACACACATTATCATTCATCCATCGAACATAGGTAAGAATTTTGTAAAATATAAAAAGTTCAGGATGATATCAAGTAATATTAAAATATTAAGAGTTTAAAATATTATATAATATATTTCTATACATAAAAAAAAATATTAGTTTGATTTTGTATACGAGACTCACATACTAAGGGTTGAAAATTTGAAGCCAGATAATACATCAGATTAAAATTCATCTTCATCTTCATCTTTTGCCTTCCAACATTTCAAAGAAAAAGGAGAAAATAATTACAACTCTAATATACAAGACATTCTATCCTTTGTGTGAATCATTTGGCCCTACCACCTTCTGTTATGGCGTCTTCAAAGAGTTAGTAGCTCCGGACAAACATCAGTGGAGTCAACATTGCAAATAAAATTGCTGTAAAGGAGTCGATTTGAACACGCACTCGGCCAATCCTTTATAGCTCCCCCCGTACACATGCTTTCACTGCTATGCATCAGAAACGAGTAAAAAAGCCTATTGTCCTCGTCTACCTTTTCCTACTCTGCCACCTTTTATGGTGATAATGAGTGAGATTCGATAAGGTTCTTTCTTTTTGCAGGCTCGACACAATCGCAGCTGGCGACACGGAGACAGTGAATGCATCTAATAATGGCTGTGGTGACGGTGGCATCGGTGGGGGGGGGGGGGGGGTAAGGTGGCATCGATTAAATCGGATATTGATATCGATTCGGGTTTGAATAGTTATACGAATTATTCTCGTTTTTGATGATTTAATTAAAATAATAAAAAAATATGAGTCTCGATCCATTTTAACATAAGAAAAAGATAAATTAAGACTTATAAACATGAGCTCTCTTAGTATGTATGATAACGTAGCTTTCGTTCTCGTCCTCGTTACTTGACATTGCAATCATACTGCTTCTTTGTTATTATGATATTGCTATTGTCATTTTCATTTTGATTATATCGTTACTTTCTAGTTATACTTTTTCTTCTTTCTTTCTCTCGTTTATCTTTCTTTCGCTTTTTCTTTTTATTTTTTTCTTAAAAATAACGATACATATGTTGATACATCGATATAGATCAGTACATATCGTTCCAATTGATTGTCGATCCAAGGAAGTGAAATTGTATTGCTCTCATGTGCTCATATTGGTGGCATTAGTCTCTGGTGTTAGGTGAACTGATAGAATGTTTCTCTCATGCGATAAATCGTAGGGTGGGAGGACAGTCTTCCGAGTTGGATAGTTCCAAGATGTTGGAGCAGTGAATTTAAGTTATATTGAATTTAAATATAAAAAAATAATGAAAATACATGAGATAAAGAGAAAATAATTGAGAAATATATCCCAAGATAATAATAGATAAAGATTATAGTCCCATACTAATTGATTTGTTGGAGGGATTTTGATGAAAATTCTCCATCATCAATAAATCTCGACAGTTCAATAAAAATTTGTTTATTAATAAAAATATAGTTCAATAATAAATATCATTTGTTATAGAAATCATATTTTTTTTAATAAAAAATACTGAAAACAAAAACAAAAGACTTAAAGAGTTATATGGACCTCCCACATATATGGAGCCCGTTCCGGTCCATACAGCCTTCTAGTATATGGGCTTGGGCAAGTTCTCTAACACATAGATGAAGGCCTTGGCGTGTACTTGGGCCGGCTGAACCCGTTCCGGTCCGTCCCAATCGAGCGGGTTCGCCGGTTTATTTGATGCCATCGGTAAGTGCCTCCGCTCGCTTCCTCGAAGCGAAAAATGCAAGACGGCGCCGAGACTCGCAATCTCCCGATCGACATCGCCTTCGCTCGTCTCGGAGGTCTCCTCCTTTTCGTTTCTCTCCATTCTCAGTTGCCTTTGGTTTTTCCTTGATTCCTTTGAGGACGCGATCGGTCCCTTTTTCATTTTTTTTCCCGTATTTTTCATTTTTTTCTTTTGGTGAAAATTTGTAGAATGGCTGGTGGATCGGAAGAGGATTCCTCAAGACTGGAGGAAGCGGCTGACCGCGATCAGAGCTCGCATCTCGTCCGCACTCCCATCGCTGCCGAGGGATCTGGATCCCTTCTTGCAAACCCTTGATCCGGAAGGTAACTCTCCCTGCTCAAATTCCCTGTAGTTCTTGTCCGTGTCAATAATCTGCGTAACTGATCTCATTTCCATGGTATCTGAGGTTTGCTATTGCTTAAGTATGTTGCTGATTTCATTTTTTTTTTTTTTTGAATCGACGAAGTGTAGCAGAGAATGCCAAAAAGAAGATTGACGTCTTTTTGTTTAGATGCTAGGGTAGCATACATGGAAATTCTGAAAAAATGAGACATAAAAGTAGCGTTATGATGGAATGGGACAATATGTAACGAGCTGCTTTGATGTATTCATCAACCTACATGTGTTTTGTGGTGGAATCACCAGTTTCCTACTCGACTTTGCATTTACTCCAAAACCAAATTGGAAAAAAGATTCAATTTTTTTATTAGTCTTGGAGAAATTATATGCTTGTTTAACGTAATTGAAATTATCAAGAATGAGAATTTCTTGATATTAACCATACAAGAAGAATTATAAATAAATGATGATAAAAGATATTGAATGAGCTAATTTTGGGTGTTCTAGCAATGTTGTTAATAATTATAAGTTACCAGCCGGCTCCCTCAAAGCAGCCATAGCTTTGCCAGATATTATTAAACCTCAGGCCATTAATGATGGCTATCTAGAGAGAGACACTGTATAAATAGTTTCCTTTAAGGACTATCTACAATTGCTGTCATAAATCCTGATTTTTAAGTAGAAGGAAGACAAAGGTGCTGACTGAGAAAGGTAGAACAAGAGGAGGATATGTGGCTATTGTTATTACTTTTCAAATATATATGTACTCCAAATGCCAGATACAACCGTTTTGCAATTTGATGTGTACATCATGGGTGATTCTTGGTTAGTGAAGGATAATTGCACTACTGTGGAAATATTTATGAGGTTATCTAATCAAAAGTTTAGAATCATAATGTTTTCTTCAGTCTTTTCTACTTCTTAGTACATTTGATACATTGTTATCTATTACATATTTCTATTTTCCCCTCTTTTTATCCTTTGTTTCTACTTTTTAATACACGCAAAACAATGCACTATTGTTTATTTTCCAAACTAATTGAGAATTAATGTTTTGTCAGTGTTCTGCAATATTAATTCTTGTTCTATGGATAAAATTCTAGGTATGCTAATAATTTTCTAATATTAATTTTAAGAAAATAAAAGTGAGGCTGAGGCTGTTCTTTCCCAGCTTTCTTGAAACAAAAATGATTTTCCTATACATCAAATATAAGAGAAGAACATCAATAGTTGATATTTCTTTTGTTTTTTGATTTATTGTGGTCAAAATCCTTTTAGAATTGTGTGTCTCATGGCTTTGCTCTGGCAGACTAGTTTGCCAGACTAAGGCTTTGAATGCCACTTGGAATATTCTTTTCTTTTCAAGCTTAGAAATTTCCTATTAGATCTTTGGTGTGAAACCATTCTCTTTTTGGATGTGTTCATGTTGACTGTCATAAGGATGGCTAATTGGATCATCATATCATCTTTTCTAGCTTAGTGGATGAATAAGCACTTAGTTATCATCATGCCATGCTTCTGCAGATTCTAAAAGTTTGGACGTAGACAAATTATAATTAATAAATGATTGAATAGAATTTATGAGATTCGGAATGTCGTTTTTTGCTTATGGATTCTTGTAAGATGCATGGAATCCTTGCCTTATTTAATTGGCACAAACATTACTTCCTTGTGCATGGTTTTGTGTATTCCTTGGCCCTCTTTTCTGACAATCCTTTATGATACCACTCTGGCAAGAGAAGTTTCAGTCATGGATGAGACATCTTTCATTTACTGGTTCTGATTTGTTTGTTGTGTTATGGATTTGTCTTCAGAAATTGGCTATCTGGAAGCAAAGAATATATATAGCATTCTTTTAAATTCGACCACAGAAAGTCGTAATATCTTTGGAAGATTATCAGGTTCTGCCGTAAGTGTTTTGGATCCATATTAACTTTTTTATTTTTTAACAATGCATGTTCATGGGCATAGAGCATAATAAATCTTCCTGCAGGGAGAATGGGAGTCAATTGTGCGATCCTTTGAGAAGGACCATATTTTTCTTGGCGAGGCAGCTCAAATTATGGTTCAGAATGTTAACTATGAAATGTATGCTTCTTTTTCTTTAAATTACAGTGTAAGAGATTATCTCATAGTTCTGACTGATTTCACTCGTGATGACATGCTTGCTGAAGTCCATATCAGAAAAAACAGATGCAAAAGGTTCAACAACAATTAGCTGAACTAGAACGCAAGGAGACCGATATTAAAAGAAATGCTGCTCTATCTGCTGCTAAATACTCTGAAGCCTGTCAAGAACTTGGTTTGCAGGTCAGGTTTCTGGTCTTCAAGTTGTGCATATATATAAGTTTGAATGTTTTGTTTGAACTTTTATGTGATTACTGATGCTACAAATGATGCTTTGTTAAAGTTCAGTTTAAAGTTTCGAACTTGCCTTTGTCTTTGCAGGGGAATAACGTAAGATTGGAACTTCTGGAGGCTGCCAAGACTCTTCCTTCTACCTTCAGCAAAATTTTGGAAGTTCTTAATAGTGATTCCATGTTTAAGGCCATGGAATATTATCAGAACTTTGTTAAAGATGTTCATACAGAGAAAGAGGTTTCTACATAACAATTTCATATGCATATATAAGTCATTTGCCATAGTAAATCAAGATATGCATGGAATCATTATTCCGAGTCTTTAACTTTTTATTCTGGTATTGCAGAAAAGTCCTGGTTCTGTGCTTGAAAATCTTAGGCACCTTCATGAAAATCCACCTTCTCTTTATGTATCAATGTCTGCTGAGGTCCAAAACTCTCTTAGTGACATGTCAATGTCAGATGTCCATGTTTCAGCGGGGACACCTATGGATACTATTCTTCCCATGGGTGGTATTGACTGGAATATTTCTGTAGATGATACCCAAATCGATTGGGATGTTGATGCTGTTGAGCAACTTGAAGAATCAGGCAATAGCTTTGGGTCTTATGAAATAATTGATTATAATGTAGACTTAAAGGATTCTGAAAATGGCAAAGATCTGCTATATGATAACACATCATCAAAAAAAACTGAGGGTGTTGTCCCCGAAGCTTCAGAATCAGAAATATGCTGGGATATTAGTCTTGAAAATCCTCAAGTTGATATGCTTGAAGATGCTGTTGTACCAGTTGTTGGAATAGATAAACCAAATCCAACTGAAACTTCACAATCCGAAAGTTTTGAAGAAAGAAGTCAATTACTGGAGACAGAGTTCAGGAATAAGATACTTGATGATTTGTTTGAGGTACATTGCAATATATTCTCCAACTTGTGTTCCTTACATATGTGCCCTTGTGAACATTTGTCCATATTTGCATGTAGATCTATAAACACTTTTTTAGTGTTTGTATGTCTAAGCATAAATGTATGTGTTTCTAACTGTGTTTATTTATTGTTCATATTCTTAATGGATATACCTACTTGTGAGATAAAAGATTGGCATTATCAATAGGAAGCTTGAACTTATGTCCAAATCTATTTGGTTAGTGGTTCATTCATATAGGCATGTTTATGGGATTTCCCCCATCCATAAATTTATTCTTTTCATGTGATCATGTTAATCTTTTTATCAGTTAATGGAATGAAGCCGTTGGGCTGTATGCGTTGTAATTTTATTCTTTTTTCAGAAACTTTTCTTAATGACTATAGAATTGTCTTTTCTATCAAAACCTCTTTTATAATCACCAACATGCTCCATCCATCTATTAGTTGCTTATGGTTACAATGCTAGGTTTATGTAGCATAGCATTACCCATGATGTAATTCCATGCAGTTTCGGAGGGTCAATGGTTAGTTCAAGCCTCAGGGTTGGCATCTCTGCTTGCAACAGATTAGAATTGGATCAGTTATTGACCAGCAGGTTAATCCATCGGACTAGAGATTTAATAGAATAATATTATAATATTTATTATTTAAAAATCACATTTTTTTATTTGTTTTCTTTCTTTCCTCTACTCTTCTAACCTCTTTCTTTGCTTCTATATCTTCTTTTTCTCCCTATGCATCTCTTCCCACCCTTCTTTTCTTCCTTCCGCTGATCTTCTCCTCCTTCCTCTCTTCTTTTCTTCCTTCCTCTACTTTTCTCCTCCTTGTTCTGTTCTTTTCTCTTTTCTCCCCCATCTTTCTCCATTCCTCCTCTGCTGCTGCTCTCCTCCTTGTCCTCCTCGTCCTCCTCCTTGGGCATGATGGGGCATCTATGGCCATATGAGACAAGGATCAGTGGGCTGGGAGAGGACCTATAAGGTGGTTACAAAGTTTTTTTTTTAATTAATGATATTGATATTACTCAAGTGCTCCTAAAATGATTCATCTCGACAGGATGTTATTGACTTTTCCATGCATTTAAAAACTGGCTGGTTCTTGTTAATCTGGCTTCCATGGTTCATTAAAGAATCAAACAAGCTAGTCAGTTCAGCCCCTTTTTCTAATACAAATTAATGGAATAGCATCGGTGTTTGATTTGGTTCATGGTTTTTTGTTTGAATTGACCAATGCTGTCCGGTTCTGATAACCATTGGTAAGTCCATGTACATGGACTCTCCCTATAACCTGCATTAGCATGATATGTGTGTAGTAAAATAGTTCTGTTTGTGCCAAAGTCAAGCCTGGTGATTTTTGATAATTTTTTGGTGGAACACTTTCTGGATTATTGAATATAATTTGTAGCTCTGGTTTATAATTTAGTTTTGTTAAAAGTGGAGCCACATAATTTTGCTATTATATGCTCAAGGACAAATTTGATCCAAATAAAAATCTTCTGTAATATGTCCATTGTTGACTTTCCTGAAGTATATATCAACCATATAATCATTATCATTTAGTTTTCCTTTTTCTCATAATTTGTAACTGGGACATTAATCACTGTGCATCTAGCAGTAATTGATTTTTTCAGATGACCCTTGTGCTTTTTTTCTTCTCAACTGCAAGCTTGAATTGTTGAGTTATTTGTACTGTTAAATCTAGTCGGACTAAGGGTATTCTCCAATAAATTTTTTAGGTCAAATCATTTTTAAATCAGCGGTCGATAGAGATGAGAAGTGAAGAAACTTCTTCCTTACAGCATCAAGTTCAGGCAGTAGCTCCTTCTGTTCTGCAACAATACTCCCCTGATGTTGTACAGTTGATGATATCTGAGATATCTTCTGCCCTATCCATGCTCACAGACCGCAAAATGCGTGACTTGATTATGATACTTAATTCCAAAAGGTAAACAGTTGTGCCCATGATTCACTTTGTGATGCTTATCATTTTCCTTGGTTGCTATATGTATGAATACTTCATTCATTGAATTTGAAAAACTTTATTTGAAAAAATTTGATGTTCACTCAAGTTTTTTCTCTGTTGCGTGAGTGATTTCTTTTATAGGTTTTATATTCTTATTTAACTTTGTTTGTATTCCTTTTACTCAGATTTCTCGACAGACTGGTGCTCACGCTGGAGGAGAAGAAAAATCATGAAGTTAAGCTTCGTGAAAGCTTGAATGATTTGTCAGTTAGACGTGTTGAGCTGCAGAATACGTTGTCATCATCCTGGCCTAAGCATGTGAGTGACACATTTCTGCTTTTGTTGATGTCATCTTTAGAAAGCATTTCTGGTATATGTGATGCAAACACTATATGCAAAAGTTGGCTTGGAGCCTGCAAGAAATAATCTTGAGTTTTGCCCATCTGAGATGTTGCAGTAGGATTCACCAGGCATAAACCAACCTGTGGTATGCAATAAATAGGTGTTTCATATTGCATCTCGATTAGAAGGATCCATATTATTTAGCCACTTATGAGGTTTAAACTACATGGCTACTCGTAACAGCACATGTAGGTTCATTACATGAGGTAGATTGGGATCTATGCTTTAACAGTTCTGCTACGTTTAGCCTTGTTTTTTATGCAGCACACATGCATGAAAAGTTGAATGCTATTATGATATTAGGTGGTTGACCACATGTGACGACCATGAAGTCAAGCACTTTTTGCCGATCACCTATGGTTTTGCTGTGATTGTCTTACTCTATGAAGATTTGGAGTCATCCTATAATTATATCACAATTACATCTTTATGGGTAATAATTGAAGAACATGATATTTTCCAGGAAGCAGCCATTGCTAAAACCAGGGAACTGAAGACGCTTTGTGAGACAACCTTGTCATCGTTGTTTGACGGAAGACCAGTCAACATAATTGGAGAGATCAACACATTGTTAACTGCTAGCATCAGTTCGTGAGGTATTGCTGATTACCAGGAATTAGTATGGCTTACATCCTGTCGTCATCTCTGCTAGATCTTACAAAATTTTCCCTTCACAGACAAGATGTCTCCCATTGTCTGCTAGCCTGAGTATTTCATAGGACTGACTATCCATTGTATTTTCAGAAAAAAAAGAGCTTTAGTGAAAAAGATGTTTCCTTTTGTGATGTTGCTGAGGACAACAGCGACTTAGTTATGAATTTGCCTTATATCAACAGCTTTATAAAATGATCATATATTCTTCGTTTGATTGTAGAAAAGAATTGCTTACCTGCTACTTTGTCAACCATGTCATATTATATCTGCTTTGAGGCCCATTGGGCCGACCAAAGAGCAACCCACTGCAGCATCCACACGAGAAGTGGAACTCGGAAGATATCATTACAAAAAAAAAAACCAAAATCGTACCTCAAAACACATGATCTTATGAAATCAGGAATTTGTAAAATTATGCCAAAACAACCCTCCAAATTCATTCCGAAACTTTCAAGGAAATCATTTTATGAAACCACAAAATATATGATAAGAGAGAGTTACCAAATTAAATTAAACTAATTGTTTTGATTATAGTGTTTTTGAATGAATTTACGATGTTCTTGATACTATACTATAGTGTTGAGGGAAATTCTTCCTCCTAATTTGTATAAATAAGATGTATAAATTTGTATAAATAGGATGTATAAATAGGAGAGGGATATGTTAATGTATTTAAGCTTTTTCACTTCTTCAATAAAACCTCTTCAATAAAGCTTCTTTAAAAATTGTTCTTATCTTCTATTACTTTTATTATGGTATCAGAGCAGTGAGAAAAGCGAAGCTTCGCGCTGGCTGAACTCTTGCCTTCGGCCGGCGACCAACGTCGTTGAGAAAAGCAAAGCTTTGCCCTTGCCTTCGGCCAGCGACCAACGCCGCTGCAGCCAAATTCCTAAGAGGCTCTACGGCCAATCCTCATCTTCCTTACCGCAATAGTCTTCGTTGATATGCCAACAGTCGGCAGACTTAAGGAGAACGAAGGGCGAACTTAAGGGGAACGAAAAGAACGCTTGTGCCCTCATAGCAATCGCAGCAGTAGCGATGTGCTCTTGCTTTACTCACGAAGCCTCTCTCGTAAATCATTCTTTGCATCGATCCAAAATTGGTATCCTTAACAGGAGCACCATCTTGCAGGGGCATGATAGAAGATACGATTTCCTCAACTATATGAGAAAATCTCTCTATTCTGTTAAGGAAAATCCTCATAATCTGTATAAATAGGAGAGGGACATGTTAATATATTTAAGCTTTTTCACTTCTTCCATAAAGCTTCTTCAATAAAGCTTCTTCAATAATTATTCTTTTCTATTATTTTCATCATGCAGGGCATTTTGAGTCCTTGAAAAAAACCAGCGACTCTCCATCGCCATTATGAAAATAAAGAGTGTTATCAAGAAAAAAATATCTAAAATATAGGAATTTACTTTAGGAATCATCAATTTTATAGATATGAACGACTCACCCCTCTTTTCTTTATCCAAAATATATCAAGAACTACAATTGAACAAGATATCTAATCCATCTAACGTTTAAATCAGAAATTGATAGTAATATATTCATCAAACTCTTATAAATCAATCTTAATCTTGTCCACTTTCGATATGAGATTAATCGGAGGTGTTACAATAATAATAACATTGGTAAAGAGCGATGTCGACATAAGAGTTATGAGAAAATAAAATAAAATAAATAATATTAGAACTATAAATAATAAAATAATATTTTATTATTTCTTTTAAGGGGTTATCAATAGTAAAAAAAAAAGAAAAAAAAGGAGGTTGTCAATAGTAAGCTTCATAATAAAAGCAAAAAGACTGGGTTAAGAGCATTCTCAGCAAACATTTAAACTATTAGAAAATAATACAATACATCTATATCCCTTAAAATGATATTAAGAGGATATTGCATAATATCAATTACCAAACAAAGAGAGATAAAAATAAGTTTCAAATACATGAGTTGCTTGAACAGCATGATCGATAATCCCAAATTATGAGCGATCTATATATTATTAATATGGAAATCCTTAATTTTTAAGCAGCTCTTGGAACCAATGAGCGGAGGCTTTGGGGTATCTTTTCAACCCATCTTTGTAATCCACATGTACCAATCCAAAGCGAACAGTGTATCCGCTGATCCACTCGAAGTTATCCAGCAACGACCATGCAAAGTATCCTCTCACCTTCGCCCCTTTACTGCACACCAAAACATAGGACGACGACGGCGAGTTCATATCCTCAACTCAATTCAATCTATGTTGTCCAACTCAGGCCTCAACTCACCTCATGGCTTCGAGAACGAAGGATAGATGTCTCCTGTGGTAATCGATCCTCGTGTCATCTTGTAGGGCTTTGTCGAGTGGCCATGACGCGTTGTTGACCTCGTCCACTCCTAACTCCAAAACAACACTGATATAAATATCATGCGTTCTACATGCATTGGTGAATAGAGATTACCATTTTCTGTGATGTAGATGATTGGATCGTTGTATCTGCTCTTGACATATAGCAAAAGCTGTCTGATGCCTCTTGGGTAAATATAGATCCAATTGGATGCAGCCTGCATCACATACCCATCATTCATTGACCAGTTTTAGATCAAGTTGATCGTATATATCATGGATCGATATGACAAGATAACCTCCTAGTTTTATTCTTTTGATTAGGAGGATGTGTAGCAAAAGTTTGCGTCGGTACAGCTTTCTTGGAAGAACAGCATGAGTTGATCATATTTGTGACAGTGTTCTATCTAATAATCTTACCTGGAGGCCAATAGGAATCCTTCCACGCTGACCTGTTGATCGAGAAGAATTGGTGTCAGAGGAGGATGCCCATCATGAACAACATTCCATTTACATGTTAAGAAAAGGGCTGCTCGATGTGCCAAAACACCATCAACGTAAGATCCGAGAAAGATGAATGCAGATAACTATACTACATATGCAGGTGGGCAAAAGAAAGAATACGTAACTCATGCCCTAACTACTTTTGTTGAGCTGCAATACGCAGCATCTTCCACACGCAGCAAGCTTTGTTCTAAGAAAGAAAGAAAGGAAACCAGAAAGATAGAGGATTGGATGCGGCTGAGTGTGGTTTACCTGATTGGTAAGTGTATGAATCGGAATTGCTTCCACGAACTGTTGTTGGAGAGCTGCTATTGGCGTAGTATGTCGTATAGTAGTTGAGTCCTATGAAGTCGAATGACCCCTTAACCATTTCAGATTGCTTTGCTGTAAATTCCGGCAGACGGTCTCCGACGAGCGCCCTCATCACGAATGGGTAGTCTCCTTGACTCAGGGGGTCCATAAACCTACATGAAACGCATCAACAAGCTAGCTAAGATCTCACAGAGGAAGACTTCGTTGTTGGTGTTGATCCCCCACTCACCATCCAAACATGAAATCTAAAGCTCGTGCAACTGCATCAGCATCCGACTTGGAGTTCTCGTAGGGCACGAACCAGTGACTGATGAGCGTTATGCCTATATCTCCCCGCTGAGATGCCTGAGGACAAGCAATCAACGACTAGAAGAAAACAGGCAGTCTCGTGATAGCTCCATAGTAATTACCTGATACTTGTCTCGGTATAACCTCACGGCAGCTGCATGGGCCAGCAGTTGGTGGTGAGCACAGAGGTAAGGCTCTCGAGATGAGTCGCCCTCGCTGCACCGACGAGCTGCCCACGGCGGAGAACACCTCCCGGGCGCAAATACACCAAAGAGATACCCACTCCGGCAGAACGTCCATGGTTCGTTGAATGTGATCCAATGCTTCACCCGGTCTCCAAACTCCTTGAAGCAGATCTCGGCGTAGTCACGGTAGTCATCCCTGTAGATTCCGATCAGGGTCAAGAGGGGGTTCATTCATGTTGTAGACGTGATGCTGCCGTTTGTTTTAGGTTAGAAGATTCAAGAGCAACTTACACGATTGCTGGGCTAAGAAAGCCTTGGTATCGCGATTCAAGTTCTTGGGGAAGATCCCAGTGGAAGAGGGTCACGAAGGGCTTCATCCCTGCACACGTCGATCATAAAAGCCACATCAACTTCGAGGAGAACAGAGAATGCTCGCGAGATCTTTAACGGGCACACACACCGTTGGCTCTGAGATCGTTGATGAGGTTGTTGTAGTATCGTATGCCTTCCATGTTAACTCCACCACTTAGACTTCCACCTGACATTGTTGAGAGCATGGAGACTAGTTAAGTGCCTGCGTGCTTCAAGGTTTTGTGGTAGGGTCAATTCCTTACTTGGTAGAATCCTGGGCCAAGAGATGGAGAACCTGTAAGCGTCCATTCCCATGTACTTCAAGAAGCTTATATCTTCCTGCAGCTTCCAACACATTAGTGACTCATGCAAGACTCTGAGGGGAACTCAACATTTGGTGGATAGCAGTCACTATGCTACCTTATAACGATGATAAGAATCTACGGCCACATCTCCATTGCTTCTATCTGCGATCACTTCTGAAGAATAACGATAAAGTTAGATGAAATGAATTGACATGAAGAAACAATCCAATAGGTTGATCTGAGTGTTCCAAGATACAAGGAAGAAGAGAACATCTTCAAAAGCTTCAACATGATCTGCAAATTATATACTACTAGTTTATCACTGCTTTCATCTAATTAGGATACTGGGAGATGAGACCTGGGTGCATGTGGGTGAAGGTATCCCATATACTTGGCCCTTTACCGCCTTCTGCAGCTGCTCCTTCATACTGTGAGTGCAACAAAAGCCAACTCACGATCTTAAAATTCCACAACACTTGGGATAATTAGTCTTATTTGAACTCACTTTTTCTTATCTTTTCTTTGGAAGATTTACAACGCTCTTTTAAATGGTTCTTTATATGTGTGTGTGTGTGTGAGAGAGAGAGAGAGAGAGAGAGGTGTGACCTGATAAGCTGAGGAGGCTGCCCCGAAGACAAACGTGGACTGGAAATTACTTCGATTGAAAAAAATGACAGCTTTCTGCTCCACTGCATCAGCTGGCGGTGCTGCCACTAACAGTAGCACGAAGAGGGGGAAGAAGATGGCGGTGAGCGGCATGGAGTCCAAGCTTGGGGCTATACGAAACCTCTTCAATCTTGGTTTTGAAGGACTATATGGCTCAAGCCCCCATATATACAGATAGATAGATAGATATATAGAAGGGGAGAGAGAAATGAGCTGTGTAGTGATTTAATTAGAGGGAAGGTGGTGCACCTACGTTGATAGCAATATATTACCACCCTTCCTTAATCTTAGTAGGGAAACAAGTGGACTTGCTCAGATTAGCCCTCACCACAATTTCCGTTCTATCAAATTTGGAACCAATCCAAATCGAATCTATTCCGAGCGATTCCAAATTGAATCATCAGTTTATATTGATAACAAAGAATTCTTTCTTTCTTTGCCAGGATCGCCGCTCTGATACCAAATGATAAGACCATTTGGAATCATCAGTTTATATTGATAACAAAGAATTCTTTCTTTCTTTGCCAGGATCACCGCTCTGATACCAAATGATAAGACCCTAAAGTCTTATCGTAGGCTCTGATACCAAATGATAAGACCCTAAAGTCTTATCGTCGAAGAAAGGGAAGAAATGAGGATGATAATGATCGCTTCGAGGGGATCGACCTCTGATACCAAATGATAAGACCCTAAAGTCTAAAAAATAAATTACAAAAAGAAAAATTAAATTTAAAATGATTACTCCATGAAACTATTTTTTTTTTTAGTTGATTCAAAATCCAACGGGAATCGCCGATTCTGATTGCGCTAGATTCTGATTGGAGCTGAGGTCAGGACTAGATCAAATATTACAATAATCAAACAAGAAAAAGATTAAAAAAAAGATAATAACTCCACATCAGCAACAAAAGGGTGAGCTAAGCATGTGAGTCATCCATGACCTAATAAGCTTAACCATCTATAAACAACGGTAGCAGTTAAAAGACCTCTTCTTAGTCTCCTCTCTAGTACAGTGAACGCTACCAAAGTCAATGGTGCGACTCCTTACAAACATCTCTATCACTGAGAGAGATGTTGCAACTTAGCACCAAAAGAAAACATTACAACTCAACTAGTTTTGAGATCCAATGATCTTTACATAAACCATCACACGCACAAGGATGAGCTGATGCTTCTTAACAGTCCAAATCCTCGCACTATCACAATCCAAAAACACATCATTGACAGCTCCAAGGAGAGAGAAAACAGATGCTCTAGAGTGACCAGTGCATGACATGGCCGAGGCACTGCCCATTCCCCTGTCGAGCTAATTCCAGTTCACCTGAGAACTGACCATGGACATCCTCGGCTGCCACTGTGGCTAAACCCATGTCCCGTTGCACATTTTGAGAGTTACTCCTCCTTCCTCCGTTACCGATAAAACTCCATTGGTTCGTCATGCAAGTGTTCGAAATGGCTGGCTGCGCTGTTGAGGTGCCATCGAAGCTGCTGCTTGCTGAGGAGGTTGAAGTCTGATTCCGGAGAGTGGTGTTGCTGCTCCATGGCGGTTGAGTTGACAGAAGAGAGAGAGCACAGCTCAAGTCGGTGACTCCTGCATGACATTCACCTGGTGGAATTTGAGGGATGGAGTACAGTGGCTCCTCTAAAGGTGGATGGCCGTCATGTGCCATTGCGGCACCAGAAGGTGGAAACAAGAGTCCCAGACTGATCTGGTTACCGACCACCCGATCGGCGGGCCTAATGGTTGGCCAAACGTCCCCTGTGTTGCTAGAAAACCTTGGATAATTAAAGTCCATGAGAAAGCTTCTGAATCTGCTTGGTCCTGTGAGCATGATGGAAAATCCACTCATCTACAACTCTAGCAAAAAAAAAAAAACTCATTGATGTGCGGGGAATATGTAATAAATGTTTCTGACCATGGAAGGATGAAGCATTGCGACCATATCGTGATGCAAAAGGCCCAGGCGGCAGCTTCCTTCGACGCTCATTATGGCCTGCAAGCCGTCTGCGGCAACTGCGTTTCCCTTGGTCAAATTCGGGTAACTGGTGAAATCTATGTTTAGCAGCACTCAGATCAGAGAGTAAGAATTGATTAATAACTGTAATGGATAATCACATGCTCCATAAGAAACTAATACTGAAAAGTATATTGAAATAACACGAGTCTGATAGTTATGCACCGCATAAAACCACTAGTAGCATATGAAAGCCTAATTCAACCAAAGAAAAAGCAATTTGGTCAGTCACACAAGTATATAAGAAGTGAGCAAACGAAAGATACTTTATTCTGAATCTTAATTGTTGGTTACAGGCTCAACTAGCAGATATTTAATGAAGAGTTGGAACCAATGATGGTCACAAGGTCAGAGAACCTGTTGAATGGTTCAATTGATAAATGATGACTAGATTGAACTAGACGAACACTTTAGTTTTGAACCATGAGCAACAAATTTTACAGCTTGATAAAATTCAGAATAACTAGCCTAAAACAAACTTTTAATGCAGTAAGAATATCTATGAGCTTATATTGCCCATTTCCAGACGGAACCAACCATGTGAATACATACTGAATCTAATATTTGCACCTGCTGCCTATGCTTTTGTTGTGCAAAGAATCTGGCTTGTTGGTGTTTTCTAGGTTTGGCTTTTTCACTAGTATAATCCATATTGTAAGGATTGGTGCACAAAATAAATGAATGCTTGGAAAGGTTAAAGGTAGAGGACCAAGATTCTTGTCCGTGTTAAATCTTCGGCTCTGCCATTAACAGAAATAGAAATGGCTTACATGACAGTGATACAGCAATGTCAGTCAGAAAATCCACTCTTGTCCTTCCCTATCACACCCATAAATACACATGAAAATATATCCTAGCACACAATAAAGTATACTGACAAAACAAAACTTGATCGTTTTATTCAAAAAGATGAAAGATTTATAAAAGCGAACTTCTTACATGAAAAAAAAAGTTACTAGTAGAAAAAATATGCAAAGGTCAGGAGAAAAGAAAGTGTATGTTGCACCAATAAAAATTGCAACTGTTGGAGCAAGGTCACTAGAATAATTCACCTGCATTGGCCCTTCAACCTTCAGTGACTTTAACATAAATCATGTCCATATTTCATCTTAAATAGTTTATTTCTTTGTATACTTTACTTCATCATCACAATAAACTACCAGCCAAATAAAATTTCAAATGAGGAAATCGATATGGCATTTGGGGACCAAAACAAAGAGCAGGATGTAAATAACCAGTATGATGGATGTAAATAATAAGTACTTTTTCAGATGCAATCATCAAGAGGAATATATTCATAAGGCCAAGTAGGTAAATTTGCTCCACAGATCATCTTGAAACTTGTAGTTATTTGCCAGATCATAATGCTAGTAACGGTAAGTTACATCTGCTTTCGTGTCAAAATAGAGGCACAGGTAAAAATAAAAAAGGTTTTCTCAAACATAATCATCAGCAATTTATCAAAGTAGAAGAAAAAAGATAAAGAAGTGCGATAAAACGATTACAGAAATGTTTACATCTTGCAGAGAACCATCATCAAATTGGATCATGTATTGCAACTAGCACGATACACCTTGATGCCAACTAAAAACTGTTCAACCACAACACAGGAAAAAAGTACTACAGCATCACTTAGACATAAAAGTATGCAATGGAAGGGTTTAATATTTAGGAACAACAGGCAAAACGAGACAAACCTAGGAACATAAGCAGAACAAATAATGCAAGCCCAGGCCAAAGAATAAAATCTGAAGTTTCATGGAGCCCTACACATGTCGCATGAAACAGTAATAGGGAAACTTTTTCTACGTAGCTGCAAAGACACAATCAATATGAAGCCTAACAAGAAGCAAAGGTGCAGTCATGATTACAGTAGCTATTGATTTCCTCCTATGTTGCTACCAAAATTCCACTGAACTGATGGACAAACATAGTGTTTCGTATCAATCTAAGTGGCAAGCATTGCTCTACTAGCTTACTACACGAGCTAGCTTAATGTATTAATTTCTTGACATCAAAGAACCCTAGCTGAAACATTCATCAGTTCCATTGGTAACAAACCATCAAGAATCGGGTTTCATAATGTTTAATTTTGATTAACTTCCAAAGCTACCAGTGGCTGAACTCACTCATAACCTCACGTTTGATTTTTTCTTGTCAATTTTTACATGATATCAATCGAATCAGAAACTTACCTACCCCCAAATAGAGCAAAAAGTATAAAGGAATATCAAACTGTGTTATAAAAATAAGGGAAAGTAGTAAATTACTGGTAAAACCTGAAAAGATTAGGAAGAAGAACCCAAAAATTCCAAGAAAACGCAGTTAAATTGCCATCCCTACAATGCATGCAACATCAACCTGCCTAAGACAATTCTTAGATTCCAAAAACCCAAAAAGCAATTGCCAAAAGGATCAGAAAAAAACAATTACTGTTTGAACAGCAAACCAGGCGTACCAAAATAAGCAGAAGGTGCCATCAGGTCAAAGTTAAACCTATAACAAATCACCTACATATCAACTAGTTAAAGAACTGAACATGTTTTCTACTAACAACACACGACAGTCTTTTACAGAAAAAGAAACCAAAGTCAATTTCTGCAAACCTAAACATCACATTTGAAATCAGATGCCAACAGGAGTTGTAAAGAACAATAAAAAGCCACTAAAATCAAATCAACCTGCTACATTGCTGACAGAACCGCTGCTCCAAGCCTGCAACCATCACTTTTGGTGCCTTTGAGTGCATCCCACAGACTTTGTGTCGACAGTAATAAGCTTTCGCCCCGGTGAGATCCACATGGCAGCCCTCCACCTGGCACCTCGGAGGCTGCTGCTTCCCTCCATGCACCACTCCCTTCCCCTTCTTCGCATGCTGAGGCGGTGCCGCCGCCGCCGCCGCCGCCACCGGAGCAGGAGACGGGGCTACGGGGGCATTGGACGAGCTCCCACCATAACCGCCACCACCACCACCACCACCGTCCTCAAAGTAAATCTTTTTCCCGAACGCGAGCCCGTGGAGGGAATCGCTGGAGCCAGAGGAGGACCCGGACACCCCGAGAGAGTTGGCACCCATCTCCATTGCTGCAACCTTTCCCTACTACAGTCCGTCCATGGACTCTGAAACCGAAGGTGGACCAAAGGAGGAGTTGGGGATTCCCTGGAGAGTTCTTTAGAGTCCTGGCGGGGTTCAGAGAAGGGCCTTTGGGTCTTTCTGCAGCATCATAAAGCTGCCACCATCCATACTGAGCTACTGTACCATGGTACCGTGATAAATCTGGCAAAAATATGCCAGAGCTCGAGATGACAAGTGAGAGACGGTGATGGTATCCCGCCACCATCCATCCTGAGCTCTTCGATCAATTCATCATCAAAGAGCAAAGCATCCAAGCTTTTGCTCCCTTGAGAGATGACCATTTGAGTGCCTTGAGGTTTGAGTAGATGGGATGTGGGCATTGAAGAAAAGTAGAGATTTTTAAGTAGAGACGTGTGCCTTTTCGCGTTGAAAAGACCGCTTTCTTGTGGTCGTTGTGTGCATGCTGGTGAAATCGCAAGCATCGATTGAGCCTTCTTGGATTTGCGGTGATGGTACGTATTATTTACTGACTGCAAATCTAGCAAGGTATTGAATGGATTTGCTAGCGAGCTAAAGTCTCAAATTACCCTTCGCCAATGAATAAATTACAGTACAAGGACCGAGGTAACAAAGGCTTTAAATGATCTATATGCAAGTCCATTGACTACAGGAAACAACGCAAAAAAGCGTCTATTTTTAATTTTTATCCGATAGTTTTTAGTTGGTCTTCTATATCTAATTTTTAAATGAACTATGAATATTATTAAAATATTATTATTTTTTTCTCCCTCTTCTTTTTTTATTTCTCTCAACTCTATTTATCGATGATGAATGAATGACATCATCATTATATGGACATACCTCGTCATCATATGATTGACACTTCAGATCGTATCGATGACACATTATCATCATGTGGTCGATACCTCGTCATCACGTGATTATACCTTATCATTATGTGATTGATACATCATCACCCAGTGGTTGATATCCCATCATCATTTGGATGATATGGTAATCGGTTCTATCCAAGGGAGTTATATAGTAAGTTAGAAAGTTGATATAGTCAACTATTACCTCTTATTTTTTGAATTCGATACTATATAATCGTATATATGATAGGAGAAAGCATATAATCATTCCATGCATTTAACATTGACCTCGAATATAAAGCATCAAAGGGATCTTGATATAAAAAAGATCCTTAAGTATGTTTTCCAAAACTTAAATTTTTCAATACTTAAACTCATGTACTTGATCGAATCCTCTGAGTTCTTTATTGACTTAAGCATCAAAGGGATCTTGATGAATGCACCATTAATACATTTTTTAGAAAATTCATTCTTGAACCCACCCATCTTTAGACTCGAAGTTTATGATAAACTCGGATTTGAACCAAAGTTGGATTTGAATCCTCCTTTGCATCGGACAATCAAAATGTACTTTAATAGAATGATGCTAGGACGACCTAACAAAAGAATGTTATAAACTTCCTAACCTTGAGCTATTATTGGGCTTGAGCAATAATATAGAGGGCTTCAGTTGCTTCGTGCCACCGTTTGGTACGATAAAATGATAGTTTGTATAACTCAGTAGCAACAACACAATCCAACCGTTAGAAGAGGTAACTTCCAACACCAACACAATTGAACTGTTCGAAGAGGCAGTTTATCACACCAACCCGGTTGAACGTCCTAAAGATTTAGTTTACTTGTTAAAAAACTCATAATAGTGATAAAAAAAAGTCATAGTAACTTGTTTTGTCTCTTTGTTGTGAGTTTACTTGTTAAAAAAACCATAGTAGTGAAAAAAAAATTAGGCGCATAATTTTCTTTCGATCATTTTATCAAAAAGAATCTAAGTTGCTGGATTGTGGTAGTTAGTATCAGAATCAACATACTATTGGGCATAGTGAGAGAGTCGAGTAAAAGAGGATTACTTGTGGACGAGGTTAAGCGACAAGGCTTTATATGCATCATGCTAGTGTTTTATCAATGCTACGTTGAACTTTGATATAGCTAAGGATCTTCAACTAAAGCTTTATATATGCTAAGACCATCTAGGGTATGTTTAGAAATACATATAAAATATGCATTGAGGGCCCAATGTACATTTGTACTGGTGTTTGATAATTTTTTTTTTCAAATCATATACGGCCTAAATGCTGTAATTAGTATTATAAAATTCGAAGGATGTTAATATAATTTTTTAAAATTTGAAGGTACCCTATAACTTTATCTAAAATTACACTATTGCGATTTAGTGAGAAATCAATATGATTTATATATTTTTTATAAAAATAAAATTATATTTATTTATTTATAATAATAATTATATATATATATATATGTTTATTATATATTTGGGCAATATGAAATTTTTATAAGATTACATACATATATAAATCTATTTTATTTATTTATTTAAATAAAATATGTATTCACTTTTAAATAAATATTAAAAATTTTAAAAGTATAAATTCATCATAAAATATTTAATGAACTTTTGAAATATAATTTCACTAAGCAACACTTATGTCAATGCTTATTTAAATTATAAATTTTATTTATTATTTACTAAACTCCAATTGTATATTAAAAATATAAAGATATGGCCAACCGCAACCTTAAGTCTCATACAAGAGATGAGCAAGGATTTGGATTGATCTATTAGTTCTAAACAACTAGTTCAAGTGCATAATTCCAAATTAATAATAATAGACTCGTGTAGTTCTTATAATTTCGTTCAAAATTTCTCATTATTTTTTCCTTATCGGCATATATGATGACACCAACTGTGAGTGAAGCGACAGCTGCTGCCCAGTCTGACTTGAACGGATCATACTGCTGTGTTCCCTTATGGATAATGACCCTTGGCAGTGTTAATGGTACCAAAGTCAGAATAATTATATCGAGATTCCAAATTATTGTCTACTTGGATGGAGGTGTCAGCTTAATGCTACGTGAGATACGTTGACTCCTCCAAAACACTCAGAGCTATGCATGTATAGGCTTAAACTGCTACGTACAGAGAGTAAACTACATACCAAAAGTCGAGCATGGACAGTGAGATGTTTTTCTCCTCTTGTTTCTTTCTTCTCTGCACTGCCTGAAGGTGATGTTGTCCCATCTATGGGTCCGTAAGCTGCCACTGCTTTGTGCAAATGTGTAAGCCAAGTTGGACATGTCATTCAGTGTGAGTGACTATTAATGGTGGCAGCAGCAGCGACTTTGATGCATCCATGGATGGATGCATGGCTGTGCATTAGGTAACCTGTCCACTTCGAACCAAGCAGGTAAACAATTTGTACCACGGAACTGACCCCACAAAGTCTTAGGGAGAGAGAAAAAAACTTAAAAACTAAAAAAATAAAGATCAATAAATAAAAAATATAACAGAAAATCAATACAAAATTTAATGTCATTTGATAATTCTCTATCTACATTAAAAAAAATTAAATTATTCATTATGTGAGATTAATTATAAGATCATTGAGTTATTCTCACTTAAACGTAACTCTATTATATATCCTATCATATAGATTAAAGAGATGACTTGATGAGCATGTAAGGTGTCATGTGATGACATGTGATCGAAAGGCCAACCTTTTGAGGATTCCATCGATCAAACATTTCTTGTGTGTGGAGGTTGGATCCGGGGATACATGGTCATCATGAGTCATACGTAGCCAAACTTTTGATCGTCCGAACCTCATGATTGTTGCGGATGGATAGCTTGGGCCTTGGGAATAATGAACATTGCACCATACCCCCACCTAAAATATCACATGTTCTCTTCTTATCGTTGATGATCTCGGATATAACTACTCTCTAGTCACTTATAAAAGGGACCTCTAGGTGCATATCTCAACATGATTTTTATTCAGTGGTATCCAATTGGTTCGACCAGATCGACCGATCCAAACTATCTAAACTCATGAACTAACTTGATCATCAAATGGGCATTTGTTAGAAACATTCCTGACTTAGCTTTTAGAGTTCGTACTTCAAGAGACCACTATCTAAAACTAAGATATACTTGGAACATGCCTCAATTGAACCTGAATCATCATTTTAACTTAGACAATCATAATTTACATTAATAGATTGGTGCTAGAAGGAGGACTTGAATCTCCAAAATATTTAGGGATACTATGTAGGACCATTAAGATCGAATCCCAAGTAGCCCAATGACTTGAACGGTCTGAATGGATAGTCGATCCCTCGATGATTTCATCAATCAAACATGGCCCGCACATGGAGGTCAACTCCGAGGACACATGGTCATCATGAGTCATACATGACCAAACATCCGATCTTTAGAACCCCCATACCATACACCCTGCCTGAAATAATACTGTACATTCTCCTCTTGTTGCCGATGATTTTAGATGTAATTGCTCCCTAATTACCTATAAAAGGGGTCGATGCTTTAGAAGACTTTTAGAGCCCCCAAAGTGCTCTACCTCTTTCTCTCACCAAAACCAAATGTATTTATAGGAATAAATTTGATGTCTCTAAAAAACTAATTAAATATAAGTGTATTTATAGGACTTCTTACTCGAATCCCTCGATAAACGCTAGTTTGTTTGAGTTTAAGTAGTACCAAATTAAATACCTAATTTCTTTTTGGTATCATAATGAGCTTTTAAAAGATTTTAATATAAAATATATTTTAGTACATGAAAACATATTCTTTATATTTGGAGGTATGACTACGATCATCATACGCAATACACATATTTTTTAATATATATTACAGCTTCAACTTTCAACTAATAGTTAACTTTTATCATAGTTGACAAAGACTAACTACTGGCATGCATATGTAAGCTTGTAGGTTTGAAAAGATATATATGCTAAATTTGAATTTACAGAGATAAATACCAAGATCATCAGCTTACAAGGGATATGTTTATATTTATTTACTTTTTTTTTATAATGGAAATGTTTTATTTGAGTTATAATATTTTTAGCTACCATTAGTTTCACATCTTCATCAAAAACTGTGAATCTCTTTTTCACTTATCGAAGATTATAATAACAGGAATTAATCTTTAATTTTGGTTTTTTCTAATTAATAAGATATATTATAGATCTGATTGAATTCATGGTTATCAACGAAAGAAAGTCTAATTAAGATAGAATTCTTTAAGAGATGATCTTTCTAGGAGGAACTCTCCTAATTATTTATCTTAGATGATGCCCCTACAAACTTAGGAGATGATCTTGATAGGAGAATAATATTATGATTTTTCTGATCCAAAAACGATGTTCTTATAGAACAAATAAAGTTCTTTTCGGATTACAACAAACGGTAAACATCTTAAATTTGATATATTATTATTTGATTTTAGTCATGATATTAAATTTTTTTTGTGTAACGTATAACATATTATAATTTTATACTTACATTACAATCACATTAAACCATACTTTTAAGAAACTGATAAAATTTTCTAATATCTTTTGGCAGCTGATTTGGGAGTTATATCGTAGTGCTTCAGTTTTCATGCAACTCCTTTCAATGAGATTATGAGATAATCAGATTGTTTCAATAGCTTAATGTGTATCATAGCAACTATTAGTCAGATTGCATTGTCATCAGCAACCATTAATATCCATTTTTCTGATGGTTAGCATTAGAATTTATCATTAATTCCATATAATAAATTAATCCAACCTATCTTATTTCTCGAAAACCAGATGCTGCTCGAGATTGTTTGCACTGACGACTCCTCTAGGACTTCCTCTCTTGATAACGAACTCCTTAATCAAAAGAGCTTACGAAAAGATATATACTGAATAATATCCTTTCGATTCTTAAGTTAATAAAAAACTCAAAAGGAAAAAAATCTAGTTTTTAGAGTATAGAGATCTGAAGAGGATGTAAACTTGCGCATTCTTTCTGGATATTAGATTGACTGTTCACGCTTACATCCTCACCTACTATCTTGATATGCTTAATTAGATTCAATTAAGCATATCATTTATCTAAGAAATATTATAATATTAATTTACCTATAAAATTCCATGAAGCCACGCTCTTTAATGATATGATTATATCAATTTCTGACATTGTCAGTTCTGGTCAACGTCTCAGTGGAGCAAACAAATCAGTTTCAAGTTCATTTCAAGCAGAATCGGGTTTTATTTCTCTGGTCAATCTCACAGGTCGGCAAACAAAATTACCAGCACCAACTCATTCACCCCAGGTTAATCTGAGAGAGCTGCCAAACTCGATGTCTGCTATGTGTTCTGCACCCAGCCTTAATTACTGCTGTGTTGCTGATGAGACATGGATTTATTTTGTGTCCCAGGAACTTTGCCATCCAAATGGTGTGTGGGGCCATGACAGGGTGAGGAAGTCATTGGCATTGGAAGGGATGCTCGGCACAATGTATCTGCACCTCTAAAACAAGATGGCAAAAGGACTGATGACAGCCAAATCCTTTTAAAGAACGCAGTGTTAGTATGGTTGGGATGCAAGCTAATGAGTCAGTGGAATAGTTCCATATCAGAGTTGTACCAAGTAATAGAAACTCTGTACCATCATTCGATATACTTAATACAAAGTCGGTATCCATCAGTCCATTACATGATGGTAGAAGGTTTGTACTAGATAATTTATTTTATATATATTTTTTGTTAGTATACCTTAATGTTATCATTACTATAAGGGTAATTTACCAAAATAATTCTGGGGTTTTACCATGGGTACCCTTATTTTAAAAATATCAAAAATATTTCGAAACTTAGGTTGACCCCCTTTTATTGAATCGAGTGGCTTGATTCAAATCCGATTAATCAAAGGATTGGTTCGGTGTAGTAGAGATATTGGTTCAGGTCCAATCCATTCAAGTCAGATTTTAAAATGGATCGGGTTGAATTTCGGGTTGGGTCGAGTTTGAGGTAAATGACAAGCGGGACTAAATGAAGGTTACACCGAACGAGTATAATCTTAATATAGGTAATGACAATATCTCCTATCTGATAGCAAATGACGACAACAAACTCCTTTACTTCTCTCCAATAGCAAATGGTGGCTACATCCTCTCTTCTCCAGTAACGATGAACTTATCTGCTCCTCTCTGATAACGAACGACGATGGCATCCTCCCCTCGCTAGCATTGGCTTCTTTATAGCGGCTTTATCGACAACATCGTTGAACGATGATAATCTCATCTCCTCTCTGACTGCGAACGATAATATCTTCGTCGGTGACATTAGGTATATCGATATCGACCCAAATAAACCAAAGTCAATCGATATCGACTATCTTTTTTTAATTTTATAGAGGGTATTTTGATCGTAGTAGTGTAAAAATATATTTTTTTTTGACTAAATTACCCTTCTTATAATTCTAAAATTAATAGAGATAAGGTAAAATATCATCCTTCTTTTAAATTCTATAGTCATAATAATATCTTTTATGTAAAAGATTAATGGAATGAATTTCCATGAAAAATTATTTATGTTTTTCTGCATATCATTCATTATACGAGTAGTTCTTGATGTACCTTTTCAAGAACTTGCCAAATTATGCAGATAAAAAAGCATGTGTCGGCAAACCATTTCTCTATCCAGCAACCTGCAATGATTGAAGGAAAAGTAGCCGATGCTTTCAACAACAGTTTTAAATAAGTGAATTCTCAAAGAAAAAGAGAAAAAAACATATATATATATATATATACATCTGTTTCCTTAGTCATTCTTGGAATATTTTATTCTGAAATGGATTTGCCGGTTGGTGGATTTCCCAAATCAATAGACCCAACTTGGTGGGTGTGGAAATGGGACTCCTCGTCGATGAAATGCATGAGGTTTATTTGTTGATGGGTACAGGGGACCAACCAATGATAGAGATGGATTGAATAGCTAATCTACAAAGTTACTTGAGACTGCATGGAGTAAATCTTGTTTATTACTCCATATTATACTTGCCAATCGAAGCAAATGCTATAAATTGGATTGTTTCATCAACTCGACCCTGTCGTTCGATAACACCCAACTAAAAATTATTATTCTTGTGAGCTTTAGAAATGTAAAAACATGTTAAAACTGGAAACCGAGAGATCCATTGAAGGCAGTATTTTTCCTTGGATCACATGACTTGGAGTGTTGGATTTTGTGTGTGTGTGTGTGTGTGCTGACACCTCACAGGACAGCTCTTTCCTAGCAACCTACTTAAACACTCATTGTTACTACATCGTGAGGTTCTCTCTCTCACATACTAAAAGAAAGGGGTTGGTGTTTACTTTCTCTGCTCTCCTGTCTCATTGCTGCAGGAGTGCAGATCTGAGAGCCTCCCCACGACTAGCAGCGGTGATGGATCTGAGCTCCTCCAGATCGATCTTCGGCGGATCTGTAGGAAAGCTCGCACCTTTGGCCATTTCCCTCCTGTTCTTCCTGGTCTTGGCCGCTCTGATCCCATCCACAGGTCAATTCCTAGTTCATTTTCTCCTTACCAAGTGCTCGATTCTTCTCAACATTTGATCTTTTCGTCTCAAAATCCAAGTTTTCCACTCAAAATGCTTGAGGTTGATGCTCATTGTCACGGGTTTCGTCGGAGATGGTGGTAAAATGGTAAAGGGGAAGCTTGTTGTCCTTGGATATTGCTCCATTCTTCTCGATATTGGTACATTTGGTCTCGAATTAACTTTTTCTACTCGATCTGGCTGAGTTCGGTCCTCTTCGTGATGGGTTTCCCCGGAGCTTAAGCTCTTCTTTAGTAATTGCTACTGGATTTCTTTTTTGTTTTCTCCAAAAAAAAGATATAGTTACCGATCTAGCTCTAGTGTGTTCAGTATTTAAGGATTATAATACCTGCAGAAATAGGACATCTCTGTCTCATTAGATAGCTGAGATGCAATTGTTTAGGGTGGAGCCTCGAATTTTGGTAATTGGTTTTCTATTTTTGCGGCACTTCGTTTTCTTTTCATTAGGAACATGATTTGCAACTGTTTTTTCTTATTTTTAAGTCACTACTGGAGAAGAGTAGTTGCTGATCTAGCTCTCTTTAGTTCAGTACTTGAGGATTTTAGTACCTGCAGAAATAGATGTCTGCCTCATTAAATCTCTAGTTGTTGCAAGGTTGATTTTTCTTTGTTTTAGCCAAAATGAATGAGCATGTGTTTTTGAATTGCTGAATACAAACACCAATGCTGATTGTACCCAATTTTCTTAGTGATGTTCACAAGATGTACATCTTGCAGGTGATCAAACTGATTAAAATTTTTTATCTCACCAGTGACGAAAAATGTAAGAATAATGCCGTTAAATTAACATGTTATTACAGAGGGAAAAAAATTAGTGGTAAAATTTAGGGTGTTTGGTGCACATATTGTTGAAGAATTAGTTAATGTTATCTAGGAGGAATGGCCTGAATGGGTGATTGTAAAATAATTTTCAATACAAAAAACCTTTTTCTTAGATATTCAAACTCTATTCCATTTCTTGATGTTCAAGAATGTTCATATCTATATCCACTATTTGTTTGGTTCAGTGTTATATTCAGTAGATCCAAAAAAATTGTTATAATGTTTCTTTTGTAATTCATGTTTCAACCTTTTTTTTATTTTTTTGCTTAACAGAGGCTTATGATTCACTGGATCCAAATGGAAATATAACAATCAAATGGGATATTATGCAATGGACACCAGATGGTTATGTTGTAAGTACAAAAGCTGGTCATTGGCCTATTTTCCTGAAATTATATGATGTTCACATGGCCAATTCTTTTGCATTCAGCTTGGCCATGCATAATTTCACATAGTTCATGATTGAAAAGACAACTGAAATTAATGTTAAGTGCAAACCATATTTCTTTGTTGAGATCATCTTGGCAAAAAGTGTTCTCAATTTACGTAGCAACTGAATTGCGTCTACAATCAAAATATTGATATATGAATCATTTTCAGGCTGTTGTTACGATGTTCAATTTCCAGCAATATCGTCACATCCAAGCACCTGGGTGGACTCTTGGGTGGACCTGGGCAAAGAAGGAAGTCATCTGGTCTATGGTAGGAGCCCAGACCACGGAGCAAGGTGATTGCTCAAGGTTTAAGGGGAACACTCCGCACTGCTGTAAGAAGGATCCGACAGTTGTGGATCTACTTCCTGGAACTCCATACAACCAGCAAATAGCCAATTGTTGCAAAGGAGGAGTGATTAATTCATGGGTTCAGGATCCAGCTAATGCTGCAAGTTCATTCCAGGTCAGTGTTGGTGCAGCAGGAACCACCAACAAGACCGTGCGTGTGCCGAAAAACTTCACCTTGAGGGCTCCAGGACCTGGGTATACATGTGGAATAGCAAAAATTGTAAAGCCCACTAAATTTGTTACACAAGATGGAAGGAGAACAACCCAAGCTCTGAGTAAGTTATCAAAGATAACCTGCAAAAATTAGTATTTTGAAACTTTGAATAGGATAGGATTTCAGGTTTTAGATACAACTGTTATATTGCACATGGACATGCCATAATATCCCAACCATTTGGGTTGGTTAAATATGTCTTTTCCCATCATTGAGCTTTGTGTAATATGATATCCAGATAGAATAGAAGCATTCGATTTTATTTTATTATTTTTATTAAAGTCTTCTTAAGTCTCCTCTACCTTGCACTATTTATCTCAATCCACAACATTATTTAACTACAACATCTATAGATCTTGAAATATGTTCATATAATTTTAGATGTTTTTTTATTCTGATCCTCTATTGAACCAATACCTAATTGTTTCCAAATAAAAATATTTGTTTAATTCTTTTTTTTGTAATTCCATATGTTCATCTCAAGATTTCATCTCAGGTAAACTAATTTTTTATATGCATGCCATTTATTATTCGTTCAATACTCTGATCCATAAATCATAATCAACCTTACACATATCTTATAAAATATATTTTTTAATCTTAGAGTGACATGATGATAAGACAACCATCACAATGCTCCTATCTACTTTTTAACTATCTAGCTTTTACTATATGAATAATGTGTTAGTTATTCTCTCATTTGTATTGAATAATAGATCCGAGGTGCTTCAAATTTTTACTTATAGAAACTTCTTATCCATCTATCTGTAGCACACCCTTTTTCTTTTTCTAATACATTCAAAACTATATATGTTCAATCTTAGTCCTACTTAACTAAATCTTTTAGTTTCAAATCGGTCTTCATAACTTTCATCAATCGGCACAATATCATCAGCAAGTAATATATTTTGTGGGGATATTCCTATATATGAGTAGTAAATGGGTCCATTAGCAATATAAGAAGATAAGATTTTAGGACTAATCCTTGTTGTAGCCCTATAGTATAGGAAATATGATACATACAATTCCTATAGCCCTAGCAATTGTAAATACTATATCATACATGTCTTTTATTACATTGATATAATTCTTAGATGCTCTTTTCTTTTTAAAATCCATCATAATAAATCTATAGGTACTATATAATTAACCTTTTTCTATGTCAATGTAAACCATATATAGACCTTTTTCCTTCTCTCTATATTTTATATTAATTATCTCAATAAATAAAAAACATTTGTGGTTGATCACTTGATCTTTTGGGCATAAAATCAAATAACATTCCCAAGATATTCATTTCGTTTCTTATTCTTTTTTTAATTACACTTTCTCAAATTTTCAGTGTGACTCATTAGTTAAATCCTCTATCATTAGAGTAATTTTGAATGCCTGTCTGGTTCTTATAAATTGTCTTTAAAGTTCCTCCCTGGTTCATTGTACATGCTTGATACTCAAAATTTTGTTAATAATCTAGTTAACCAAACTACCCTCCGATATCCTATAATATTCAAATCTGAAGTAGAGCTGCCATCATGTCCTACACTTTTACCTGATTTTATCCTATTTAAATCTTTATTTTTCTTATTTGTTCTGATTTTACCAACAAATCCATGATGTCTAAGCTTCTTGCTATAATCTATCTCTTAAGGCTAAGTCATCAATAGAATGTTTATTAAATGATGTATAAATCTTCATTTATCCTTAATTTTAATATTGTTGACAAGCAACTTTTGATGTTTCCGTTTTACATTTAACATTTGCACTTTGGCAGTCTAATAAACATCCTTTTCTCCACCTGTCTTATGGTAAAAACTATCACATGCCTTATATTTTGTAGTAAACTCACGAACTTTTTGGTTTCTTTTTTAATTACTAAATATCTTTTGAGAATTTCCTCATTTTTATAGTAAATTCACAAACTTTTTAGTAAACTAAATATTTTGTTGCATGCTCTCTTTGTAGTGATTGCTTGCTTTAAAATATTTTTTGAAATTTAATTGCAGTGACGTGGAATGTTACATGTACATATTCCCAATTTCTTGCTCAGAAGACACCTACTTGCTGTGTATCACTTTCATCTTTCTATAACGACACGATTGTTAACTGTCCGACATGCACTTGTGGGTGCCAGAACAATGCAACTCAGCCGGGAAGCTGCGTGGAGTGAGTTAAAATGTGAAACTCTTTCTATTGCTTACAATTTTAGTTCATCTCTTACTGATGTCTTGGTTTACTATGGCAGAGGAGATTCACCTTATTTAGCTTCCGCGGTCAATGGTCCTGGCAAAAACAGCTTCACACCGCTGGTCCAGTGTACATCACATATGTGCCCCGTAAGAGTGCATTGGCACGTTAAACTTAACTACAAGGAATACTGGCGCGTGAAGATTGCAATAACAAATTTCAACTACCGGATGAATTATACGCAGTGGAACCTTGTCATCCAGCATCCGAATCTTGACAATCTCACTCAACTCTTTAGCTTCAATTACAAGTCGTTGACACCATATGGGGGAATAAGTAAGTTTCTTCGATTCAATTTTACTTTTCTAAGGCCACTCTGGATTTTCCTCTTATTTGTATCATGGAACTGTTAGTGGATGAATATTATCCCTATAGTCATGATGACTCTAACTCTGTTATCTAATTTTGCAAGAACACCTTATGATTTAAGTTTGCCTCTATTGATCTACCTCATATATGTGCATATTTCTTTCTTATTGACTCAAAAAGAATTACAAACCTGGAGTACATGTTGCTTACTATTTTCTTCCTCTTCCGTGATCATAATCTTAAATGCTTTTCATGTCACAGATGATACTGCAATGCTATGGGGTGTCAAGTACTACAATGACTTGCTCATGGAAGCTGGACCTTATGGAAATGTACAGTCGGAACTTCTATTCAAGAAGGATCCATCAACTTTTACTTTCGAAAAGGGATGGGCCTTTCCACGGCGCATCTACTTCAACGGCGACAACTGTGTCATGCCTCCGCCAGACTCATATCCGTGGTTACCAAATGCCGCCTCGCAGTTGATGAGCACCTCGACGATGACCCTTCTTACTGCTTTGTCTTGGTTGCTAATCTACTGTGTCTAGGAAGTTCTTCAGGTTTGCTCGGAATTTTTATTTATATGTAAACACATTTCAGCTTCTGGAATTTGGACAAAGCTAAGGATCAGTCTCTCTTACACCAAAGGAATCTTAAATGTTGTAAATTGGTATTTTGAACATTTCTTTACCAATGTTGTGCTTAAATTCTTGTAATGTTGTTGTCATTTATGTCACAACCTTATTTGTAAAAGGATAGACAGACACCCATGATAATTTATATTTGTCAAAATCCTTAAAAAGATAGATTGATTGGTGTGGTAAAAATGGAACCTCATTTCTTGTATGGCTTGAATTGTATCTCATGATGCATGAAGGTCTCATCCTTACAGAATGGAGTATATATTAGAAGGATCTTATGCAAGTTATCTAAACAAGCAATTCATATGTTCTTATTTGCAAGTATCGTCTATGGTATCTACGATCTAAACATCTTTTTACAGTTTGACTACAGTTTGACTTGGTGAATGTACACCTAAATATTCTAATATTGCGGCATCATCATCATCATTTTTATCTCATATTTAGAATGACAATAGGCTACCAAGTTGGATCGATTACCCATATAGATAAATTGTGCTTATTTTAAATTTGATTAAAAAATTAGAATCCCAATTTAAATGAATTAAGCTAATTGAGAGTCGCAACAAACACATGGAGCCCATTTGGATCTTGAAAAACCATCCATATTTGGTAAACCAAATCAACTCACGCCAACTGGATAGATTCACATCTATTTCCGTTGATTGGATTCACATCTATTATCGGACACAAGGAGGCAGTTTTTTGAACACTGGTTGAAGTTAAGTTCTCTCTCCCCTAAGCGATTTATAGAAAACACTCGAGCAATTGGGCGACATCGGATCAATTTTGCCATATGGATTGACGATCAAAATTGTGGATAGTATTATTTTGTGGTCTTGAAATTCATGAAAGAATATTTTTATCTTCTTCTCTTTTGAGAACACTTTAAATCACTGTTTTACGCATCGACAATCGGTTTGATAAACTCAAGTTAACTACTAGTAATCATGGTTATCAGTTTCAATTATTGGATCGTCAAGATTTTAATATTCTTCGAAGGGGGTATTAAAATCAATTTGATTTTTAATGTTATTATACTTATGACCAATTGGATATAACTACAAATGTCTAATATATATATATATATATATATATGATTTTTCCTCTATCTTTCTTTAAGAAAGCATTCTTCTTCCTCCATATACTGATGCCTTTGCTAATTTTATCATGCTCAATAAGCAGAGATATATTGTGATCTGTCTCTAAAAAAATCATTCTGATATTCCAAAAAATTCAACTAGTTTTTGTAAGTTTGAATTTCTTTCATGTGCCCAACTTGTTCTCCTGAAAGAAGAAGAAGAAGAAGAAGAAGAAGAAGAAGAAGAAGAAGAAGAAGAAGAAGAAGAAGAAGAAGAAAAAAGGTGTGGGAAGATGTTCACTAATTTGCTACAGATGAAGAGTATTTGTTGCATTCCTTTTGATCATAGAATTTGTGGTAATGCATAGTGGAGTGTAAGCAACTATTTCCAAACCAAATAAGAATCATAGATCACAAAATTTACCTTGCATGGAAGTTGAACTCAGATCTGGATGAAAGAAGAACAAGCCTAGGATAAAATCCAACATTGCAGATTCTCTCAGCTCCATCCTCAGATCTCTGTTGAGCAAAACCAGCTATCCCCAGAAGTGATTTGAGATTCAAGTGCCTGACCTTTCAGAGGAGGAAGAATGATGGTATGGAGATTTATGGAGGAAGAGAAAGGTCTCCCATCATTTTCAATCATTCTCTTCCTTGTATGTTCCTTCCATTTTAATTTCTCTCCTTTAAAGCAATGTGTTTGGTGAAGGTGAGGTAAGCGTGCATACTTGGGGGATTTGAGGAGTATCCATCATAAAGGAAATAAACATAAGAATTAGGATGAATTGTTTTGTTCATTTACCCCTTCATTCTTTGGAAGCCCCATTAATCTTCAAAAGCTAAGAAAACAAACAAATAAAAGATAATTTCCCACCTCACTATGATGGGATAATTTACTCATTAATTTATTGAAAACTCATGTTTAACTCATTCTTCTATTGAGTCTAAACTATTAATTCAAAATACTTATAATGATAATAAAACCCATCTATCCCTCATTTTCAATATAGTGTATGACTTGTAAATTCGTCCATGAGTGATTTTTTTCTACTAAGCCTCTTATTATGTTCAACACCAGATTGACTGACTCTAGTATTATTTATCGCAATCTAACTTGATGAGATAATTGACCTAATAACTAGTTGAGTCTAAAAAATTGACCCGAAATACCAAACATCGGCTAATGATGTAGTAGATTTATCCTCCACTTGTGATTTATACATAGGACCAAACCAGGGTATTACATAATTGATCAGAAGTGATTTATCTGATAAATTGCTTTATAGAATTGTTCTTGGATGAGCTTTTCTGATAACAATGAAAGACAGTGAAATAAATTTCCTCCACATGAAGACAATTAAATGTTCTGTTCATGTTTTATAAGGTTAAGAGGAGTTGGCAGCAAGTACACAGTCACCATCTGAAGAATACTTCCCAACCTTTCTCCAAGAACAGCAATCATGAAAATTAAAGTAGGTTGATGGTAAGCATCAGCTACGTTTGTTCTAAAGTGAATAGAGCTTGAGACTGAAGCCTTGCCAGTACATCCAGAGTAAATCCAATGGTTTTGTTGATGTTACAGTGTAGAGTAATTGACTTCAAACTTGAAACCTCAAGTAGATTGATATGATAGTAAAATTGGAACAATATGCCTTGATCATTGGCTTGATTTGCTATGTATCTATCTGCATTGATTCCTGCATTAAAAGAAAAAAGGATAGCTGAGATAACTATGGAACACTAAAAGCTTAAATAGTAATACGATAAAAGAGACTATTTCTATAATCCTGCCCAGATAAGATCTGGATTCATTACATGGGGACAATGATTTCTCCTGCATGCCCTGATCAAGGGTGTGAACTTGAAATTATTTTCGTACGAGACCTATAGAAACAATTGAACCTGTTCCTGATCATTTGCTGTACTTGTTGGAAAATTTAAATTGATGTCTAATCATTAAAACAAAGATCTGATATCTTGATTATTAGGCTTTATTAACATGTAAATCTTCAATAACTTGGCCTTATATCTTAAGAACAACAACTTCCGATCTTGAAACAAAAACTCCTCATAATCTTACGAATCACACAAAATCTGGTGTTCGTTCTTCTATTTGATTGCTTCTAAATTGGTTCTTTGACATGAAACATGCTCTTAGAGTTTTCAATATGATCTTTGGTAAATTCTATCTACTCTATTTACACTAATTCTTGATCTGCCATAACTTTCATGCCAATAGTGATAGTAGAAGTATCATTAGAAAAATTGGAATACATGATGGTTTTTTATTTTGATCATTGGTTTCAGTAGGATTTTTTATTTTCTAGAATTTATGATCGCCCATGTTGGAAAAGAGTTGTTTTTATCATTACATTCTTTTGGTATAAAAAGAAATTTAGCCCATGATATAACCCATCTAGTTGTTCATTCAAATATTATTCTCACTTTTAATGTAAGAATTAAACCATTATACGATGCATGTGATGGTCAGTCAAGTAGTGACTTCACGTCATGACGGATTCTTTTAGTATTAAACTGACTTTGATATTATTTGTTTCGACCGATCCAATGAGATAACTAACGAAAATGACAGTAACATTCTTAACTTATTCACTCACTCTCCATATGAAATATAACTATGACCTATAAACTGAAAAGGTTGGCCCATTAGATTCTCTCTAGGTCGCATCTGCTGTGCTCTCTCTTGATAGACCATCGGCTTATCTTATCCAAATGTTGGTGTCTACTTGCTTCACATCCGATACGATGATCAAATTAAGTTCGTCTATGTGCGTTACGTGCATGAACCAAATCAAGTCAATTTAATAGTAGCGAAGTAGAAGGTATTGAGCAGTGAACAGTACTGTGTTGGGTTCGCAGCAGGTTGAGTTTTGTTTAGGCTGAGCTGAGGTTTGCCTACTGATATATTGTGTCAAACGCCAGCAATGAATGATTTCTGATCTCTGAACTGAAACACAATGAAGAAAAAGTGATCATTTGCAGCAGTCTCATCTCAGTTACAACACCACCCCTCCTTCGAATACTAGCAGATGCTGCTACGAAGTATGGGAGTTCTTTCCCATGCATCCATTCTACATAGTGGAAACAGTACATCAGACTCAATGTCCTGCATGAGTTAGTTGTTCTTCCTACCACAAGTTGCATCTCTCTATCTCTGCATGCCTCTCGAACATGCATCACCGATGACACTCTAAAATGTCCATATCTCCGCTACAGGGATCAGACGCTTTATTATTATGAGAGGGAAGGCAGCGTAAGGACATAACCTTGGTTGGTCTCAAGGGCACAGCCTTCTTCAACCCTAGCTAGCTTCTGCTTGAGATCTTTGTCGTCCACCATTGCCTTCGGATTGATTCATCCTATTCATAATTTTCTAGAGTGGCCCCATCCATATTCTATTTAATTATGTTACAGCTATGTAATTGATCTTATAGTCGTATAGATGTTCACATGTTCCATTAATAATGATCAATTAGGTTATATATATATATATATATATATGTATATATATCTTCAAATTTTCTTTTATGGAAGTTCATAAGAGATGATCCAAGAAAAATATAATTATAAAAATGAAGCTTATGAAACCCCTTATAATAAGTTATGCATTCAATTTTTCCTCTCTATCTTCATAATGACATTATGGGTGCTTGGTGCCAATTTTGCTTCATAATTTTTTGGCACAGTTATATTGAAATTGATTTTGTGACATTGTCAAGATAAAATTCCTTGTATATATATGACACAAGATTAAGAAAGATAAGATAAAATGTGAGAGCCTTTCATACCTCATAGAGAAGGCATAGAGGAGAAAGATATATATAATACAAGAGACACTACAAATTTCACCTAACTTTACTGCAACTTCAATCTTATAAGGACACTATCAATAGAATAACTTGATAAAAATACTGAACAGTCAATCCTATCTAATGTTCAATTTGGTATTCCAACTCAAAAGGCCAATTATAGGATATAATCTTGTGAAGAGTGTGGCTCCACATCTACAAATCTATCTCATTGGGTCCATCGATCTATATTTTCTTCAAAGGAGAGGAGGCAT